ATTGAGTTCGGACAAGTAAGATGAAGTGTTGATGATCTTGCCTTTGGGTTTTCCATGCTTTGACTTACCACCTTTTCCACCTTTATAGATGGCTCTGCGAGCAAACCTCCGAGCTTTTCGGGTCGGCTTGCCCATGAATGACCTCCAACGTGCCTTGGCACGGGAATAGGCCCAGTAGAGCTCAGCAGCCTGTTCATTGGCCGTGGCACCCTCAGCAGCTGGCCAGGATTCATCTCCATAGTCACTGCTGGTATCGGTGTCGGTGCCACTGTCATCCTGACCATCTGACAAATACACGTATGGATCATGTGGCTGTGTATAAGTAGGGTATGCTTCGGATGACTGCCATTGGGATTGCCAAGAACTATGGTCATGCCATGAGCTACTGGGGTGGTCATACTGAGATGTGGGTACATTTTCATTCCATGTGTGATCGTCCTGAATATGGTAGCTGTGTGTTGGATTTTGTCTACCCCGCAACATATTGGACATATTTCCTGGTGCATTTTCAATGATCCTACCCATGCGTCGAATGGCACCTTTCAACTCCGTGAACTGCTGTTCATCAGCAGGGAGAGCACCACCGAGTGGCTGCAATAGTTGGATCAATTGAGAATCCGAGACACCAACTGCCCGGATCAGCAACCAAGAAAGACCAGCATAGCTCAGGGCGAGCACACCTGTCTCTGCCGCGCGCATGCGGGTGGTATCAAACCTGGTCAGCAACGTGTCGATCCGTTCATTGGATTCCCTTCCAAATGACAACAGATCTCCTACTGCCCCTAGCCTGACTTCCTCACCTAGCCTGGCAAATCGGGTGCTGAGTTGATACATCAGAAACGTTAGTGGGTCGGTTTGGGTACCATTTACGGTCCCCCCTGTCAGAATGGTCTGCGGCGGAAGTGTTCTGCTGAACTCCCTAGCTGATCCCTGCAACTGAGAAATCACACTAGCCGCCTTCCGAGATGCATCCCCATCTGTAGCAATGCTCCAAATTAAGATGTCTCTGGACCAAGTGCTGAAGCTATACTGATGCTCCATTTCGGGGCTCCATGCGGGGGGCAATCTTGGATGGCTACTCCTACCTGGCACCATGCAAGCGACTAACGCACATGTGCTGAGGCCGCCTCCAGCGGCTAGCACTAGTGTCGAGTCCGAGAGCGATCTACCATCACGGCGACCAGCGGTCATCGAACCCGAGTTGTCATGGGCTTCAGGAGACTTCACCTTCCGATTGCCTGCTTTGGATCCGGTCGTGCAATGATTCCTGGATCTAATGGCTGCATCTTTCCCATAGACCAGCTCACAGAGTTCCTTGTGACGGGACTTTAGATGTTTCAGCTTAGAGTCGTACATGGTTAGCAATCTTTCAAGTACTGATCTCTGCTGCCGTCTAAGCCGCCTACGCAAAAGCTCTGCCCTACGCTGATCTCGAGGGTTCATTTTGAACTTCCTCCTTGAGTGGTGCAGCCGCACCAGGGTCGAATTCAGCTCCTGCCTCCAAAGATCCCCATTCACCAGACTGGGCTTGTACTCGCCTTCGGACCTGGCCTGTACTGGGGCTTTGCGACCATTGCTCGCTGCATACCAGTGTGTAGTGACACTGATCGAGCCTGCCCCAACCGCACTGGACTGGATCACAAGAGCGCTGGCATTGCGACTCTTGATCACCAGCCCAGTACTGGCTGAGACAGACCCCACCAGTGCCACTACTAACACGGCACACAACTTCAGCACGGCGGTGAACATGATGACAATCAATGGAGTAAGGATGAAAAGAAAATGAACCAGTCGAGTCGACCCTTAGGGTATAGCAGATACCTTAAATGGGGGTTACTGCCGGGGTTCCCGGCTCCGCTACCAACTCGAAAAAGAGAGGAACTAACGTGACAAAGAAGTACTGTTTCCGCAAATGTCTGTTTTCCTCTGACTGCTTGTGACGAGGTCTTGTGTTTACCTAGGTCGAGCTCTAGAGCCAGAACAGTTACATGGACAACAATGAACCTGAGGTATGATAGATCATGTACCTTTCAAGTACCTGGCCTGGTTTGGTCTGGCAATCATCACTTGCCGGGAATCGTTGTGAATGCGGGCTAACCCCTGTATTGATCAGCCATATTGGTGAAAGTTACTGGATCTGTTCATGTTTGGGTTCGCAATGGAGAGATGGTTAGGCTTATCAAGATCGTAGAATGCTGATATGATGGGGTTGGGTCAAAACCTTTCTTTTTGACCATTTGACTGGGGATAGACATCCATTAACCAGCTATTTTAGGGTACCTAGGGTCCCAGGGTGTTGACTCATAGCCAACATGCACCAAAAGACGGGAATCTCTACAGCTGCCTCTTCTGTCCGACAGACGGTGTCGTTGAAGATTCCAATGACTGGGGTCGTGAAAAATGATAGACATCAAGAGATCCAATTTTTTCTATCCCCAGGGCAATACTACCCCCAAATCTTTGTTGCTTGAAATCATTCTATACTTCCATGTGCTTTAGCTCCAAATCTTAACATCTCTATGTTTGCTTAAATCCCATATCAGAAGCCTATATCCAATGGTGCATCCCCATTGCGGTTAATAAATAATTTATGATTAACATCCCCGTTGCGAAAATGTTTCATATTCCATTAATACAATCATCAGCTACTCGACATTGACGGGGGGCATGGCTCAAGCCTCCAAGAGCTTCAAACAGGTCCAGCCTAAGAGCTTCGTCGCACCATTTAGCAGCGGTGGCCCAGCATGTAGCAACAAAAAACGAGGTCGAATCGCCTCTGCATAAACAAAAAAATGTTGTTTGTTTTCTGCGTATGTCTACTGTATTGTGTATGCATGTATATATATATATATGTAGATACAAATACACATACATGGTCTTCAGAATCAAAACGGGGAAATGGTCCGCAAAATCGGCATACTGCCACCAAGTAATATCAAGTGCAAGTATATTTGAAACCACGCATAGACTGATCATGGTTTATGCCATCCCAAGGTGTTCGACTCTTACCCATCTGAAGTGCATGACCATCTTTGAAACTTAAATCCAAAAAGGCTTCTGGTGTTGACAAAAACAGCGTTTTTTAAGGGATACGATTTCAAGGAGTCCAATCCAAAATATCCAAAGACCCCCGCAACACAGAGATAGTAATACTATGATAGTAATGTTCATCTATCATCAACATATGTTTCTTCTTTTTAAGTGAAGCCAAACATCTCATGTGACACTCATTGATTTGGTCTGTTGGGCTGGAACTTGTGGAACTTCAGCAGTCCCAATTTTGGAGAACACCAGTGCCTCTAGCTATGAAAAGCATGATCAGCATTTCTGTATGAATTCCACATATGCTTTGTCCTTACAATATTGTTCAAGAGTAGGCAGAGTAAGAAATGTTCAACCTTGATTCAACTCAGAAGGTTCGTGGCAAATCCCCAAAACCCACGGCTGGCGCCCTGACAATTGCCAGGTCCTGCTGTGTTGGGTCCGCCCTGCGCAGCTCCAGCATATGGTAGAGCCATCAGAACCCAGTGTTCCAGAGTTTTTCTTCTCAGCATCCAAATCAAAAAAATATATATATATATATACAAAAATCCCACCTCCGCACCCGGAAGCCCCATGATGGGCTCCAACCTGCAGACAAATGGCCCCTGATGCAGGTCAAAAGTGCTGCAAAATCACTAGCTGAAGCGACATTTTATCATATATATATATATATACACACACACATGTAAATTGATTTCACACTCACTGGTTTCGACTGAATAGATTTTCCGAGTAGTTAGCTTATCGTGGACACTGTTGCCCAAACATTCTCAGGAATTTGCCCAGGGCTCAGATGCAGGGGCCCCTGCGACTTGTGCTCAAACCAATTCAGAGTGACACTAAGTCCATGAACCTGAGATACCATGGTGGAATCATGCCATGCCAAGTTGCAGGACCTTCAGCAAACTTCGGTGCTTCATCTTTTCTCAGTACATTCAGTACATTTAAGAGGTTCTCCCAACTTCCAGTGAAGGGGCCCGAGACTCTGCAGCCAGCGAAATTGCAAACCACGGCTTCCTGTTTCCAGCAACTTAAGGCCAAGACAGCATACTTGATGAATTGAAGCTGCGCAGTGGTATTCCTTCAGGGCACAATGCCCAAAACAGCATTCCTACCCCGCCCCAAATATCATCCTGATCACTCCTGCGCAGTCTCAAAACCGCCTCCAAAGGAAATTCTGCCTCGGTCGCACCAGGCTCACCGGCTCACTTTTTCTTTGGCACAATTGATTCTACAACGGCTCATGAAACAAAGAACTACAGTAGCAAAAAAAACTCTGAGCCGAAGCACCACGGTGACTTGATTAAAATGTGGTGTCTGAGTTTCGCATGCTGCGACTACATGATGGGATTACAGTGTCACCAGAGACACAATTGTTGGTGGTTTTCAATCCAACGGAAACCGATGACTTATATTATATATATAATTTGATGTGAATTCATCAATCGTCAGTCATCACACATGATAATCAATACTTTGGGGGGAAATGCAGCAACCGAGCGGAAGGAGCTGGGTTTGCCCAACCTTTGGTTGTGCATACTTGAAGGCCGCAACCAAGGCCTCCACACGTTTCGGACATCCAAAAAACCACCGGTGGACAGTCTGGCAGACAACGGTGCAGGCCGCTTCCCATCGCCTCCACAGACTTCTTGTTGGGCAAGCGCAGCTCGGGAAGGTCAAACATCAAACTGAAGACCTGTCGCTTGACGCGGCGTTGAGTGGCATTGATCATGTTTAGGAATGTAGTAGACCCAATGCAGTCACCATCATCATGATCCCCAAGTCATCGCCATAAATGGGCAGTAAGCCATCATGGGAGTTCTTCATGGCATTCACCAAATCCCACAAGGGCCGCCATCGAACCAACTGGGACTTTGGGGTGACCCAATTAGCGCTGCCTCCTCCCACTCCTTCTTGACGCCCACCGCACTTTTGACGATGTCAATGATCAAATCCACGGAGAGAGCCTCCATGGAAACCAGCGGACGGTGACGGTGGTGACGGTGAAATTTTAGATCGCCACGGGAAACCACCATGTTTTGGTCATGTATGGGCGAGGAAATACGCATTTCTGTTGATTGATGACATCAGATTTCCGTTGAGTAAATCCTCAAAACAGTTTGTTGCTCCGATCTCCCATTTGTTGAGTTTCTACAAAGCATCAAGTTTTTGCAGTCTGGTGATTTACAATCAATTATTCAAGAATCATTCTTCAGTGCATGATATGCACTCAATAATCATTCAATCTTAGTTTATTCAAACCTCAATGATATAATATATATATATACATATCATATAATATGTATGTATGTATATTATATATATATATTACTATTATATATAATACATTGTGTATATATATATATGTTATAAATATGGTATGGCTTGGACCCTCCAATTTTTGTCGACTTCCGAACATGTTTCCCTTCCAGGCCTCCGTGGGAGGTGTGGTCTGCGGCTGCCTGGACCACTGGACCCGTCATGGAGTCAGGTTCAGCTCCATCCCCAGTACCCTCTGGTAAACTAACAAAAAGCTATAGAAAATGGCCATTTATAGTGGATTTCCCATTAAAAATGGTGATTTTCCATAGTTTTTTGTAAAAGTTTACCAGAGGGTAATTATGATTGAGTACAAAATGGGATTCTGATAGAAATGACCCATGAAAAAAAGCAATGATATGTAGTTTTTCATAATTGATCTATCCATGATTTTTCATGATTCTCAGGCTGATAGTGAAAAAAAGTGAATGTATCAATTTAATCATGGCCCAGTCGAAATAGTGGATAAAAATCCCCATTGATAGCATGCTGGATCTTTCCATCGTTGCGCAACTCGGCGACTCGACCAAATCTGCTGCGTCAGCTCTGGACCTTGGGCGAACCCACCGAAGGGTTGGCTGAATCCCTGTGACGTTTGGAAAAACAATGGGAAAGCCACTGGTGCTTAGGGAATGGATGGCTTGCTGGGGGTTGGGATGATTCTTACTAGTGAGCCAGTGGATCATTCCCATCCATTCCCTACGTTTAGCACCAGTAAGAAAAACATGGGAAATGCTTCTGTGCAACAAAACTGCCTTCCCCTTCCCATGGTTTGAGCCTCGAAAAACCATGATTCGTCACGGAAAATGCCAGTTCCCAGTTCGGGTTGCCTTTTTTCCACGTTTGTCCCTTAATAAAAAATATATTGTGGCAATTTTGGAAAGTCCTGCCACGGACTGTCCTTTATGGCAATGACTGATGGGTATCCCCAAAACCTTTATTTCATTTTCTGGATAAACATGAGGTTTGGGCCAAACGGTTCAGGGATACCCATCAGTAGCCTTCTTGAATGAACAAACCATCCTTGGCTGCAGGCTGTTCCACTGGTTCACGCCCTGGAACTGGAGCAAGGCATTGTGAACGTACAAATATGTGTGTCTATATTGTCTACATACAGTATACATGTATAATCAGACTATAAATGATATAAATGTACTGTATACCAGACTTGAACACATCCTCCAAGAAAAATCATATGTCAAGTCATTACACCTTCCAGTCTTCCAACTTCTCACAACCCAGCGGCACCTCTTTGTAGCGCGCTGTGGCTGTGGCCAAATGGGCCACTAACCTCAGTTGCGTCTCAGCCAAGAAAAAAACCTGAACATTCGGTTGAAAATGAAAATTGGTTGAAGCCACCAACCAGTTGTTGTTGCTGCTGTTGTTGTGGTTGTGGTGTTTTTTTCCGAAGGACTCCGTCTAATTATTCCTCAAATTTTAGAGAGCCCCGTGCGTGGGGCCAGCCACACAGGGTTCCAAACGGGGTCCCGGCAACAGCTGGCAAAAACAAGGCAGCAGAAATGGGATGCAACCAGGTTGAAACCCGACGAAATGCTGGAAAAATGGACAGGCCGGCGCGTTTGCCCCTAAATCCCATGGGTGAGCATCATCTTCCCAATGGCCAGTTGGGGGTATACTGTACACTGTATACCCCATGTTCAAACCAATTGTTTGCCCCCCTACATTTTCGTCTCACCCTGCACCACTGAAAAAAACCTCCCACAGAATCGAATTTGAGCCGACGAACTTTCATCACCCACTCATCTTGGTAATGTGAAGAACTACCGAGGATCTACACATTTCGGGAAATATATATATATATATAATTATATATGTATGTGCATATATATATACATATATATATATACATATACTATATATATACATATACTATATCAAATCAAATCTTAAGATATCTATCTGACCAGGACATCTCCGAAACGTCCGGACATCGTTCTTTCACCCAGCGGCCCTGCGTGGGGATCCACCTTCTCCACCTTCGGACCGTCCGAAGTAAAGTGCAGGGCCACCTTGGTCCAGGGTTTTTTTCTGCTGGGATGAATGCTGCAGTGACTTCTCTTCGCACATGTGTATCTATTTATATATATATATATAACATCTATATATATATATACATATATATATATACATCATTATACATCTATATATATATATATATTCATATATCATACTTAAGCATATATTTTAGCAGCTGAACTGTTGCTGCCAACAGCATTTCATACCATGGTGAACCGACCCTGGCGAATCGACGGTGTCAGCCCCGGACGGCAATGATTTCAGCAACTCCTGCGACGGCCGTCCGGAATTGGATCATCCAATGACTCGTGGTCCGTGGTTCCTCCGGGGCTACCTGAGATGGGCTCAGAAAGAACTCACCCAGTAATTCTTATATCTTGTGCATGGGACAAGCTGACTTGGGAATCCGCCTGATGTTCAGGGCGGATGTTCAGAACAACGACCCGTTTCTGACCGTGGGATGACCGTTTGATGTCTGCCAGTCCTCGCTTGTCCAAGTGAGGAAACTCCAAATCCAGAGTTTCCCTGATCGCCTCGCAGGGGTGCTCCCCACCACCAATTTTTATTCAACAAGAACTGTGGTGATGTATCCATGTAGGCTTGGGGGAACCCTGAGACATCAAAAGACACAGAACATGACAACTGTAAAAATATCAGTGGATATCTCTTCTCTCTTCAAAGCCCCTGATCCACAAGGGTGGCTAGACCAGCAAACGAAGTTCCGCCTTGAAAAGCTCGTATATCCGTGTATATCCGTGTATGCTAAGCAACAGCCACCCAGGATGGGAATCTTCCAAATTTCCCATGGAATCTTCCGCTTCGCACCTGGACACTACTTGAGCCACCATGATGTCCAAGTTCCTGTGATCATCAGATCATCACTTGCGATACAAAAGGCTAACACGTCACTCAAAGAAAGTGCCACACTAATGTTCGACCAGGAAAATCTTCACAGGGAAACCTGGTCAATTGACCAGGAAATCTCAAGTAAGTAACCCCTGCAGATTTCCCCATCCAATTCTGGGCTTAAAAAAATGATCCAAAGCTGGGGAACATCACCATGTCTACTTGGAGGATCATCCCACGTGATAAAAATGTCCCCACTCAGTGGGATTATTCCATTGGTGATGCAACCGAAGAAAAACAAACCACAAAAATTTATGAATCCATGGGATGATCAAACAGCCAGTTTGCTGGAAAACTCCCAAAAAAGGTAACTATCCCCCGGGTTTATAGATGATTTTCCCATGAAAACCTCCATTTATAGATGATTGACGTTCTTTTCTCAGCCGGAAACTTCCATCAAATCTTCCCCGTCCTCGACCAGATCGCAGGCTCGGACACCTTCCTGGTAGCCTGTCTGACGTCTTTGGGACTGCAAGCGCTATCAACAGGGTGTCTGAAAACGGTTAGTATACCCCCATTGATGGCCATGGTAGTATGTAATCGTGAATGGGAGAATGACTAACCAATAGATCTGAGTTCCAGTAACTACCATGGCCATATTAATGGAACCAATAGTTACTGGATTTATGTAACCAATAGATATGATGGATGTAGGTTCAGTTCCAGTAACTGGATATGTGTCACCATGCTAGGGATGAAAAATCCCAACTTATAGGGTTATAATCTCATGGTTACACCCATGGAAAACCTTGGGTTTGGGGGGTCCAAATTTTGAGAGGACCCCCTAATTGAATAATGTGGCACCGGCCGAGCCAAACTTCTCACCTCGCTTTCAAGCTCCTCAAAACACGTGTTCTTCTGCTAGAAGAATATATATATATACATACATACATACATACATACATGTGTATTGTATATATAGTATGATTTATGCGTATATATGTGTGTAGTCCATATGTCTATGTATATGTATATGTATATATATATATATTCCTGTGTATATACTCTATGTATATACACAGGAATATATATAGTCTATGTACACATATGTGTATGTGTATATATATAGTTTATGTATACATATATATATATATATATAGTCTATATATATAGTTTATATATATAGAGAGAGTTTATGTATTATGTATACTGTATACATATATATATATACATATATGTATAGTCTATATATGCATATATATATAGTCTATATATATATATAGTCTCTATATATAGTCTCTATATATATATATTTAGTCTATAGATAATCTATAATCATATATAGTATGTCTATATTTATATATAGTCTGTCTATAGTTATGTGTAGTGTGTCCATAATTATATATAGTCTGTCTATATTTTTATTTAGTGTGTGATTATGCACAGTCTATAATTGTATATAGTCCATAGTCTATGTATGTATATATATATTTATTTATATTTATATTTATATTTATATTTATATTTATATTTATATTATATATATATGTATATGATTTATATTTATATTTATATGTACAATTATATACATATAATAATTTGATATAATTTGAAGAAGAAGTGGATTATCATTTGACATCTCCCGCCTGATGCCAAGATGGGCACCTCAGAGACCCTCCGCGCATGCTGCTTGAGCCGCGATTCTCCTGGTGCGGGATACAGGAAATCTCGAGGAAACCAACGTTTTCACCATGAAAAATCGGAAAGTGACTTGTAGAACCATCAAAATAGAGGATTTGCCCTGCAAAATAAGGGATTTAACTAGCAAAAAAGGGAATAAACCATAAAAAATATAGAAACGCGGAATAAAGACCACCGGAATTAACTTTAACCATCAAATTTTCCGGGTTCTAATTGCTATAACCCCCCATCTGAGTTGCATGAATCCAAGCCGCTCATCTTGTAGAGCACCAGAAGTCCCGCTAGTGGGCCTTTCGTGGTGTCGATCTCCTGAGACCCGGCCATGGTCAATTTCGAGCTGGCAACGCTGCGAGCAGCGCTAACATCTTTTTTCAGCAAGAGATTCTTAGTCAACTTCCAGGTCGGACTCAGCATCTGACCAAATTTAAAACAAAATCTGGGCAACATATTTTGAAGATGTTTGGAGTCTCGCACTTGTCCAGAACATTCTGGAATGGAGGTTTCCTGAAATGGGGGGTACCTCTAAATATCCCCAAAAAATCATCCATTTTAGATTGGGATTTTCCATTATAAACCAACTATTTTGGTGATCCCCCCATTCATGGAAAGCCCGGAAGATTGTTCAACCGAGTTTGGTCAGCTGCTGTTCGTGGACTCCCCGAAGCTTTGGGCTCCTCAAACGAGCCGGGGAAGTCATCAGTGGCTCGCTGCTCACGTGTGGAGCTCCATGGAGTCACGTCATAACAAATCTTCCTGGTGCCCAGCATGCAATTGGGATGAGATAGAATCACTACGCAAGATTGTAGATGTGATAATTATATATAATTATACATAGATTCACAGATTCAATGCTATTTTTTACAGACCTTCACATGCACGGAGCTTGGTAGGTAGTTGCGTGGGGAGGTACACAAAAAGCGGCGAAGCGGGAAGCGGGAAACGCTGGCATCCAGGAGTCAAACACAGCACCTGCACCTTGTGTCGAATGCTGTCGAGTGTGACGCTTTGCTTTACTTGAGAAAAGTCTACAAATCGATCCAAGGCGTCAGGATCTACTCATGTCAGTGTCTGGGAGTTTGGAATTGTTTCCATTGGCTTGCAACTTTGTTTTCAATAGTTTCCATGCAATCCATAAAAAGAACAAAAGGACCATATATCATAATCTTCTCCACCAAAAAGAGCTGCGGATGAATGTCGAACCATAACCATAACTGATGGAAATCATTTGTCGGATCTAACCTCCTTTTTCTTGTTGTCTTGTTGGTATATGTTAATTTGTCGCTAAAGTTTTTTCTTGTCGGGAGTGCAGGCCTGTATCACGGCTTTCAGGGTGGATGTGGGCTGTTCGGCTCAAGGTGCAAGTTGCTGAGGTTGCAAAACTCATTGGAATTGCAGGAACATTTGTGTTTTGCGTTGCTTAAAAAGCTTTCTGCATTTGAGTCGGAGCAATCAAACACTGACCAAAATGCTTCCGGTTTGTAGTCTCTGAATATGCTTGGGCAAACGTGCGCGCTTGAGACTCTGCTCAAAGGCGTAACCGAGCGAAGCAAAGCTCAAGCTACTGAGGCTCTCAGGAAGTTTGGCATCTTCGAGATTTTGGATAAATCGCTTCCCAAACTTCAGGCTCAGCAAATTGCTGGGCAAGGTCACATGCTCCCAACTGGCAGGGTGAAAGTTTTCACCAAAGATAATCTCTTCCAAGTCCTCTGGGAAGGTCACCGAGCGCAGATCTTGATTGAATTCATCCCCAAATTCCAATCTCCGCAAACTCGCTGGCAGCCTCACGAATTCTAGGCCTTGGTAGGACGTTGCCGTGGGCATGTTGTTTCACCAGCATGTTGCTGATGTATGGCCTTGGAAACCCTGGTCCCCTGTAGTTCAAAAGAAATAGTAGCCGGATGTTCATCCCCCTCTGCAGCCCAGCTGCTTTGATTGAACATCTCCCCAAAGGTCAAAGAACGAAGACCCTTGGGAAAGTCCACTCCCACCAAACTTCGGTTGAACTTCCCCGCGAAGCTCAAAACCTCCAAGTCCGCTGGCCTTCGAGGGAAGAGCCCAGGAAAGCCATGAAAAATCAAAGGAAAATTAGAGATGTTCAATGCTAGAATGGATGGAACAAACGATGGGAAAATCATGGAAAATCCATTGATATAGAAAACCCCCGGACGGATATTGAAAGATTGCAGGGTCCCATTCATGTGTATCGATTTTAAGGCCAAAAACAGCACCAGCGTCTCACATCGTCCCGATGTCGAGCCACAGCTGCACACGCTGCAAGTTCTGGTTGAAGTGCCAGCCAAAGGTCAAGGAACGAATGCTGCCAGGCAGATTTGTGCGCTCCACACCTCAACTCGGCGAGCTAAAAAAACTGTGGCCCGGGCGATTTTTCTTTTTACCACCCGGCACCAGGTGCAGTTTGATATGGACTTATGGAGGTGGATGCGTTTAGGGCTGAGGTTGGCTGCTCCTCAAGCCCGTGTGGAAGTTGGGGGTGCCACCTGTGCCAATGTGCTATCAAAGCTGGAGGGATGAGCTAGAAACCAATGCACAAATCTGCTAAGGTAAAGAAAACATCAGCCCAAGGAGCTCTGGTTGAAGCAAAAGCCCAAGGTCAACACGTCTAAGTCTGGAAGAATTACTGCCTCCAAGCTCTGATTGAACAAGCTTCCAAAGGTCAAAGACTTGAGACTCTTCGGCAGCTCCACCCCTTCCAATGTCTCGTTGAAGCGGTACCCAAAGGTCAGCTGCTCCAAACATGGTGGCAACAGCACGCCCTTCAAGCTTTGGCTGAAATGTTCTCCGAAGGTCAAACTTCGAAGATTGGGAAACTCTACCTTTGTGGCTCAAGAACTTCTGGACTATCTTCCGAGCTGAAAAGAACAAAGTGTTCAGCCATCCCAAATTCATCCAAAACATCGGCTGACCGTATCAGGTAGAGTTTTTTTCATCAACCATTGAAGGGCTGCAAGAGAATGTCTTGAAGCAAACGTTTTGAAGATTGGCTCTGCTAGTTTGTCCATTGGGATTTCCAGGTGCACTCCCAATCAACCAAGGTCATCTGAAGGCTGCTCAGGGGAACCAATCTAGAGAAGGGGGAAAAAAAAAAACGTGCTGTTTCCGAGCTGAGATGCTCCCTCTAAGCTCTGCTTAAAATTGGATCCCAAGGTCAAAGTCTGGAGATTGGGCAAATTCACGGCATTGACGCCATCCAAGCGATGATTGAAACCTTAGTGTGCCATATTTTGCAAGCCTATATTCAAGGTGGTTTCGTTTCGTGCTTGACTGGGTTCGTTTTATAAAGTCGGTTCTGGAAGTTGTAGCAACTGGAGCAACCGCCAATGGCCTGGCTCTGAAATATTCCCTTCCAAGTAGCTCCAGCCGAAGGTCAAGTGCTTCAGGCTTGGGATGCAAACATCCATGCTCTGATCGAAGCATTTTCCAAAGCACAGGCTCTCCAAATGGCGCTCCGGGAAAGTGACGCACGTCAGGCTTTGGTTGAAGTCCTTCAAGGTCAGAGTCTGCTCTAGATTTCCCAGCTAGCCATGTTTGATTACCAGAGGGTACTGGAAACCTTTCTGCAATAGGCTTTAATAGGAAAATCATCTCTAAATGTTGGATTTTATAGTGCCATGTTTGATTACCGGATGGTATCTACCTGCAAATGCAAATCTATACTTTGAAACTGTCATAGGACACGGTGAAGTACACAGAGTCCTCTGGTGACCCTCAAACCAGGCCTCACCAAACGTCAAGCTCCGCAGATTTCTTGGAAGCTGCGTTTCAACCAGGCTTCGATCGAACCGCTGCCCGAGAGTCAGGACGCTCAAGTTGCCTCAGTTTGAGGTTAAAAATATTCGAACAAAGTAGAAGGCGCAGGCCATCTCACTTGAATCGGACGTTGTCCACACCAGCAAAAAGGGAGTACAGTATCTTGTGGCACGCTTTTGGTGGAAAAATTTGAAGTGTTCTTCAATGCTCGCGCTTCACCATCTCCTAGAAAATCCTGAAAGTTTGCTGTTGTTGACAGTTGTTGACAGTTGCAGTTGCACACGACATGGATCTGACACTGTGGCGCCTCCAGTGCACCGCATCCACAAAACCATGGCTCGACTGAAAGTGATGTGGATGAGTTTTATTGGTTTTGGCCAAATATAGAAGTTGGTCAGAAAATAGGATACCTAACAATCCAATGGTTTTGTCATACGTTTCCCCAGGATGGCCTTTCATTTTATTATATATTACACATATATATATAGTTATATAAGTTATTTATTTAATTTATATATACGTATATAAATGGCCAAACAACCCTCCTGCGCTCCAAGCTACTGGGGAAGGTCACACCATCCAAGCATTGATTGAAGTTCTTGCCCAACTTCAAGCCTTGTCGCATCACCAATGCATCTTGTAAAAGAGTGGCACAAGATATCACAGGCAGACTTTTTTCCCAAAGAAGTGGTGTGTGTGTGTGTCTCTGTCTGTCTGTCTGCCTGCCTGCCTGCCTGCCTGCCTGGCTGTCTGTCTGTCTGTCTGTCTGTCTGTCTGACCAGTGAGGCTTTTCAAAAGAGGAGCTTCATGATAAGACACGGCAACATAGCATCAATGCAGTCCATGGAGCTCTTCAACGCTGCAGGAAGTGTGACATGGTTGAAGGGCTGGTTGAAGGCAGCACCAAAACTTAAGACCTGAAGGGCGCTTGGGAACTCCACCTGGTCCAGTCCCTGGTTGAAGTCCTCAGTTTTCGCGGCAGAACTGAGCGACGGATGACTAGCTCGTAATGGAGTAAAGAATTGGTAGCATGGCCCCATTTTTCACACCATCAACGAACCAGGGTTTGGGGCTTAGGGCACTGCTCTCATTTCGCCTTCCTTTGCTCTCGAGCCAAGATGCACTGCCCAATGACAGAGACGTCAAGTTGGGAACTGACTCAAAGGACACGTCTTCCAGGCTGTGGTTGAAAGAGGCACCGAACGTGATCTGCTGAAGTGATCTTGGAAAGGCCACATGCTTCAAACCTGGACGCTGGTACCACTGGCACCATGTCAAGACGCTTTTCTTACAATACCCTTTGGCGATCAAACATGGCTTGCTGGAAAATCCCCTGTCTAGCTGACTTTCCCATATCTAGATGGCCATTTACAGTGGATTTCCAAACTAGCTATGTTAGATTGCCGGAGGGTATATCCACCGGAGACATGTGGGATCATTTGGGTGGCCACAATGCTTGGCCCAACCTGTTTTCGAAATGTCATCATCCCATTTCGGGCCATGTACACCCCATGGAACTCAAAAATGGCCGTATAGAAAGTTTGGAATATCATGTTCCGGAGTTCCGGACCCCATTGAATTGTGGTTCCGAGACAAAAAATAGGAGGTGTATCAATGTGACGATGGGTCAATTTTTTGAAGACCGAGACGATTTAGGTACACTTCAAACGACCAGGTCATCTGTCTCGAGTTTACGCGTTTGTATAACTTTGGGGGAGCATAAAAATGTGGTGTGAAAACAAAGGTAAGGGAAATCAGGGAGATATCATGAAATGCCGTGGTAAACAAGCAACTGAATATGATAACCGGGCTTGTCAAAAATTAAGGTATCACGCCCAAGAAGTGTAATTTGAGAGGAAGAATGATGATAAACTGATAAATCACTGGATTGTCGGGTGCCAAATTATTGGACAAATGAATATTTTGTAGGCCAGCTGCTTTGATTGAAGTTGTTACCAAAGCTCAACACCTCGAGGCTATCTGGAAGCTTGACATTCCTTCGCAGCACAGGCGGCTGACAAGCCACTGGTGGATGATGACTGAAAATAATCAGTGCCTCAATTATCTCTGGGCCCAATGCCAAGAAGGAAACAACCTAACTCCTTATTGAAAGATGGCCAATGGCAGATTTTTACCTCAACAAAACTCAGGTCCAGAGTCCAGCGTCATCCTTAGTCATCCGGATACCCTCTGGTAAATTAACATAGACCCTGGCAGATACAGTAGGGTTTGGAAGACTAGTTTCCACTATAAATTGGTCGTTTTCAGGGTCTAGAGTCTATGTTAATTTACCAGAGGGTACCCCCATTGATTTCGGTGCAAGACTCTGCAGCGGTTGGTTGAAGGATGCTCCAAAGGTCAGGGACACCAGTTCCGAGGGAAACGTCACGTTCTCCAAGCTCTGGTTGAAACTCGTCCCGAGGCTTAGCTCCCGGAGCTTCAGGGGTAGATGCACGCGTTCCTGGCTGAAATCTCATTGAATATACCCTCTGGTAATGACTAACGAAAAGCTATTGAAAATGGCCATAGAAATAGTGGATTTTCCCATTAAAAATGGTGATTTTCCATAGCTATGTTAAATTACCAGAGGGTATCAGGAATCTGTGTCACATCAATAACACCAGGTCCTTGAAACATCTTTTTTTTTTGGCGTTTTGTTGGTAAGCATCGTTCCAGGCACATGTTTCCATGAAGAAATGTAAGGCCAGTCAGGATGCCCGAACCCGATCCTGAGTAAGACCGCTTGATTGACCTGAACTGTCATTGTTTTTAGGCCATCCAATTGCATCTTTAGGTTGGTGGGAAACCTTCCCCAAACGGGGATACTGCTGATTGAATGAGTCTCAACAACAAGGTGCCAGGCATTTGAGGGGTTCCCCGCTGTTGACATTTTTCAAAGGCTTTAATTTATAGGGAGGAATTGAAAAGCGTCAAAAACGGAACTTGTGTATCATCCACGTCTTCGTCAACATCAAAACGGCTGGCATGTTCAACCCTTTCTTCAGATCAACAAAGACATCATCACCAACAGCTTCATCATCATTATCATCAACAGCAACATCAACATAAAGATTTCCAAGAACATCATCCAGATGTGTCTTTGCAACTGTAGCTGCTTTTTTCATGCGGGGGCTGCCAGTTGACAATCTTACTCAAAGCAGCATCTATATCCATGCAAAGCAGCATCTATATCCATGTTCTGCGAAAGGAGGGAATATTTTCATGCCCAGCTCTACGCGTATTCATACCAAGCTGGGTTCAACCTGACTTTTGCAGGGTTGTGGTGCAGCGTGGCAGCCCACTGTCGAGCTGGTCCCAGCTACGGTCAGCCAAGTGCATGGCATGACATATGTGTGCAAGTGCAAGAGAACGTACCGTAGCGCAGCAAGAGTATGTGTGCAAGTGCAAGAGGACGTACAGTAGCGTGGCATGACCTATGTCTGCAAGTGCAAATGAACGTTTTTAGCCCACCCCACCCACCCACCCCACCCCACAGTCATGTTGATAGTAACATACAAAATGAGACAACAGTTGCGAGCCTCCCAAATGCCCGGCACCAAAAACAACTGGACTGCCGGAGTTCATGACCTGATCTATATATTCGAACCATGACATAGGAAACCAAACCGTCTCCCTATGAGACTTTTTCGGGGGACCCCAAAAGTGATGCCAAAAAAAAACACATGCCCTTCCCTAAGCCCTAAGCCATCGCTTCCCTTCAAAACCAGCTTCCAGGCTTTGGTTGAAGAGATTTCCCAAGGTCAGCCGTTGAAGCTGGCTGGGAAGGGAGACACGCTCCAAGCTGCGCTTGAAATTGCCTCCCAATTTCAGACTCTCTAGGCCTGGGATGCGTCAACTGGGTCCCGACTGCGACGGCCTGCAGACTTTTCGAAAAAACATGAAGCCACTGGGAAGTGGATAAAAATCGTCAAACAAATTGTATGATTTGTATGCTTACTGGCCTACAATTGGAGGTTTTCTGTGTTCACCAGTACCACATTTACCGAAATTGACTTGATGTGACTTGGCCCTGCCAAGACCCTTCCAGACAAAGAACTTTGGGGAAACTTCACAAATTCGAAGCTCTGATTGAATCCGCCCTCGAACGCCAGATGTCTCAGACTGCTGGGTAAACACAGATCCTCGAGGATGTCCACGGCATATCGATCGAAACCTCAGATCCCACCCACTCCGTCCGGAAACCATACTGGTGCTTAATTCGGAGGGAATGGGGACTGAATGACCCAATCCAGAACTAATTTCACACTCATCCGATTCCCCCATTCCCTACTAATTGAGCACCAGTAAGCCATGTTCCTGCAATTCTTGTTTGTTGATCTTTTTTGCACCAAGAACGTCCAAGGAACTAATTTCCTTGATGCCCTCGAAGCAAGAGTCGCCTTCCTCACAGTCCATACCACAAAGAACTTTCCAAGCGTGCCACCTCAGTCAGCATAGCGCTTCAACTCGCTTCAAGGGTGCAGAAACAAGGACTTGCAAATTCATCTTTCAAGAGATGGATTTAAGGGGAGATCATAGGGAAACCTACCAGAAACCATGTTTATTCAAAGTCAAATACAAAGGTCTCCTGTCATCCAATTTGGGGAATCTTATCCACTTAGGCCCCGCAAGGGTAACTCAAAGCTTTGCAAATGCAGAAACATGGAGAAGTTTTCAAACACCGCCTACAGCAACTACCAAAATCCCATTGCAAAAGAGCTTCTGCCCTTCAAATCCCTTCAACACAAGCAGCGTTCAAACCCAGCATCCCTTACTGCTTCGTTGCTAGGGATAGACCCGATCGTATCAGGCTTTCAGCACTGCTCAGGCGGGTTCTGTGAATTCAGAATGCCGCACTAAAAAACCCTCCATATTATGAATTCGAGCAACCCCCATGATGTATGATGTGCCATGGTCAAATTACATGGGATGGTGGTATGGGAGTTCTATATAGTTCTATCCCATAGGACTCCTGAACATTGAGTCAAAAAAAAAACATGAACTGATGACCCGAAATATGGCTACAGAATGGTACATACTGACCATGGCACAGATAGAAAAAATGAAGTCCTACTCAAATTGTCACAACTTTTATCTAAATGTTCCATCTCTTTGGGGGGTCACTAGAGGGTAAATCCTCCTGTGTCGGACACGGCCACGCATTGACCTTGGTGTAGATGTACGACAGCTCAGCTGATTCGGATAGACCTTGCTCCTCGAAATCATGGGCTGGCGTGGGCGGGTTTCATACTTCGCAAAACATCACAATCATCACCATCATCATCCTTATCCTCATCACCACCATTTCTCCCGGCAAAAATGGTAGATGTCCCTTTTGTCTCCTTCAGCGTGCTGCCCATCCGCAGTTTCTGCTCCCCGAAGAACAGCATCAGAGGGGCCGCGCGGCCCGGACCCAGCTTGGCCCGCAGCAGCTGTAGCAGTTCGAGGCCATGCAACGAGTCGAAAACGCTGAGGTGGATCTCCTCTGGGAAACGAGTCGATTACGGAAAATCACCATATTTTCATCGGTAAATCAACAAACTAAATGGTCAGGGTCATCCACTAGATCTAAATAGTTACCCTCTGGTAATGACTAACATAGCTATTGAAAATGACCATAGAAATAGTGGATTTACCCATGAAAAATGGTGATTTTCCATAGTTATGTTAGTTTACCAGAGGGTATGTGAATAGTTATGTGAACTAAACGAGAACTACTGCTGAGCTCCAGGAGATTCTTCGGACCATCTCCCTCGGTGGACTCTTGAAGTTTGGGAATAAGTGTCGAACATAATCAGTTCCAAGTGGCGATGATCATCTGACATATGTGGGAATAGGTTTTTTTCACATGTTGAAACCTTTTTTTCATCCTAAGGATTTTTTGTGGGATGAACATTCATGAAAAGTATCATTTACCCTCTGGTAAACTAACATAACTATGGAAAATCACCATGCTATCAATGGGAAAATCCACTATAAATGGTCATTTTCAATAGCTATTTTGACATAACCAGAGGGGATTTGGAGGAAACAAACCAGGCTACCGTAGCGTCATCCATGACTCTGTTCAACTCCTGGCCGTTCAAGCCCGAGATCTTCAGGTCCAGAGCTTGCGAGCCATCTTGAGACATGGCCAGGTCGCTGAGCGAATGGTTCAGCGTTTTTTGTCCGAAAAGCTGGCAGGGTCTGCTTGGATCTGCTTGAAAATTGTTGTTCTAGAAAAAAGTGTTTTCAGCTCTGCAGAAAGCATGTTCCCGAAAAATCTGAAAACACCTGGCTGAGCTGATCTTCTGGATTCCTCAAACTCCATGCTGATATTTCGAGCAAAATGCTGGTAATCGTCAGTACAAGGTGCACTACATCCAACATCACTTTCAGCGGTTCAAAGAAGACCACGCCATCGACTGGGCCCCGCACTGGATGATGGTCCAGCAATTGCTTGAAGAATTGATCCCGCTCCTTTTCCTCCATGACCTGTCGCAAATGTCTGAATAATAAGCACTGGTCACATTTCCATACATTTCCATACATTTCCCAGAACTTAGAACTCATTCAAGGTGACTGGAATGAATTCAGGAATCTTCAGGATCTATTCGAAGAACTGTCGAGTGCAATGGCTGCAGCACGGGCAATTTTTGAACCAAAGCCATGCTCCAGGGCCAGTAGCTCCAGTCGCCGCCTCGGAACAGGCACAACCTGAAACCTGATGTGAGACAAATGCCTCAACACAAAGTAATACACTGTTATATAATTGTTGCTAAAACATTGTTGTTGCAAATGTTTTTTACAAAATGTTTATCTATGTGTATATATATATGTATATATATATATATATATATACATATGTATATATATATATGTATGTATGTATGTATGTATGTATGTATATATATATATACATATGTATATATATATATACATATACATATATTGCAATATGATATATATATATATATGTATGTGTATATATATATACATATGTATATATATATATATACATATACATATATTGCAATATGTATATATATATATGTATATATATATATTCTCAGACCTCTCAAATGTTGCTTGAAAAACCAAGATATGGCAGATCAACACAGGGCAGAGGCCGCAACGCAAACGAGCACCCAGAGCTTACACTGGCTGTCCATTACGCTTGATCTCGAGAACCTCATGTCGGACAATCCCAAGGTTTGTTATCATGTTACAATAGATATATAGATATAGATATAGATATTAGATATTAGATATTAGATATAGAAATAGATATGGATATAGAGATATAATATATAGATATATATATATATACATAGATATAGATATAGAAATATCGAAATAAATAGTGGGGATTTTCCCAAAAAATGTTGAAACAACCTGGTGCTGAAAAAACACACGACACAAGCGTTGCATCTCTGTTTGAGTTTCACTGGAGGGGACACGCATGGACACGCTATATCTTTCCTTCCAGGCGGTAGTCACCTACAACCGCAGTTTGAAGGAAACCAAAACCCATTCTCCACGTGGTAGCAGTTTTGGTAAAGAAACAACTATCCTCAAGTCATGACCAAGGGAAAAAAAGTCATACTCCCAGTTTTATGACTGGATGTAGTACCATTCTGTGAAATGTCGACTGGATGTCCCAGTTTCTGTGAAAGCTAAGACTTGGACCTCAATCTCAAAGAGCAAATCTGCATTGGGTGGGATTCCCCAAGATGGAAAGCCACGTCCACCATAACCTTCTGAGGCGGGGATGCGTAAGCCTCGGATCTCGCCCTTGGTCATACCTGGCATCGGAGACATGATGACTTTTTTATATGGCACCATCTCAGCGATCCCGTGATGATCATAGGACTATAGCACCCCAAACAAAAAAAAAATAGTATTATTATTATCATTATCATTATCATTACTGTTATTATTATTTATTATTATTATTACTATTAATTGTTATTATTATTGTTATTATTATTACTATTATTACTATCATTATTATTACTATTATTACTATTAATTATTGTTATTATTGTTATTACTATTAATTACTATTATTATTATTTATTATTTTATTATTATGATTATTATTATTACTATTTATTATTATTATATATATACACACACATATATATACAAGTAGATTTAAAAAAAAAAAAAACATGTGACAAAAAAATACTATAATTTCATCTATTATGATTCCATCTGTCCTTCTTTGGCAAAAAAAACTGTTTTTTGCAACGTCTGCGATGCGGCCCATGGCGCCTCGGGCGCCCATGTCCCATCCTTTAATGACTCCACCCCCGCAGGTGTAGGTGAACGGCTGCTGTCCAGCATCCTGGGGCATTTCTGTGGCCACGTCATGGAATTGGGGGGGAACTCTACCCTCTGGTTATGTCAAAATAGCTATTGAAAATGGCCATTTATAGTGAGTTTTCCCATAAAAAATGGTGATGTTCCATAGTTATGTTAGTTTACCAGAGGGTAAATCCATGGGCTCTGATCCATCGGGATGTTTGTCCTCTAAGGGGTGAGCTACTGAACCTGGGAGCGACTGAAGGGTCTCCCAGCCGAGTGTGCAAAAGAGCGGGATGCCAATGGAGTTACAAATTTGCCACTGTGTTGCAAATGGTTTGTATATCCACAGGATCTGATGTTACCACTAAAAATCATTTTATACATCCCGGATGTTTGTGACTTCTATGTCTACCCGGTTTTCCTGTCCTTTCCCTCCGAACCTCTTTTTCTTGGATACAAACTGGTTGGCGCTTTCAACCCCCTGAAAAAAAGATACTGTAGTCATTGGGGATCATCATCCAATGTCTATGGTTGAAGATCAAACACATCTGAAACATTTTGAAGCCCCCGCAACCAGCGCAAAAACATATTTCTCTGATACTGAGGTACCCCCAAAATCCACTACAAAAAACCACTGTCCCTCTTACGAAGGCCATAACTGGAGGCTTTCAACATCCCTGCGGCACCTTGGTACTCCAGAACTTGGTCTTCGTCTGAGTGACCAAACCAGTGGCATGCACCGTCACTTCATCGCCCGGTTGCACCGTGGCGGCACCCTAAGATTGGACCCTTCCGAAGGGTCGATTTGGGGAGGCTGGATCATGTGGGAATCTCAGCTGACAATGGTTAGAACCAGCCATTTTTTGGGCATGATTCGACTTTTTTGAAGGTCGGAGAGTGTTCCATTGCCGGATTAGATTGCCAGAGGGAAGCAGAATTGTCATTGTCTGATATAATGTCACTACAAGAAATCCTGAATCAGCTGTCTTGGGAATGACGGCCAAGAATACTTCGGACCCAGTTGCCTTTTGGGGATGGGTTGAACTGGGACAATCCCACTGATTTTCTGTGGGCAGCCTTGACCGCGGAAACCCGTGGAAAAAAGTCTCTGCCAAGACGCTTCAGTACCCTCCTTGCACGCTGCTTTTGGACAACAAGTTGGCATTTTCGTCAATGATGCTGGTACAAATTCGGTTGAACAGCCACAGGTTAAAACCCATGAAAACCAGCTGCATCTAAATTTCCGTCCTGTAGCACGGTGTAGAGGGTGTCCGCACCAGGGATGGCGATGAATTGGAACTCCTCTTTTTGCTTCTCTGGTTTCTCCCTCTTCAGGCCACCACGTCGCATCTGGTATTCCTCAGAAATACTGAGGGCTGAGAAGTTATACATTAGCATGGCGCTCTACCACGTTTTCTTTAGAGCTATTTTGTCCAAGTTTGGGTAATTATTGACCCTAAGTTTGGTAATTATTGTCCCCAACTTTTGGGAATTTTTGTCCCCAACTTTTGGTGATTTGGGAATTTTTGTCCCCAAGTTTTGGGAATTTTTGTCCCCAACTTTTGGGAATTTTTGTCCCCAACTTTTGGGAATTTTTGTCCCCAACTTTTGGTGATTTGGGAATTTTTGTCCCCAAGTTTTGGGAATTTTTGTCCCCAACTTTTGGGAATTTTTGTCCCCAACTTTTGGGAATTTTTGTCCCCAACTTTTGGTGATTTGGGAATTTGTGTCCCCAACTTCTGGTGATTTGGGAATTTTTGTCCCCAACTTTTGGGAATTTTTGCCCCCAACTTTTGGGAATTTTTGCCCCCAACTTTTGGGGAATTGGGAATTTTTGTTCCCAACTTTTGGGGATTTTTGCCCCCAACTTTTAGGGATTTGGGAATTTTTGTCCTCAAAAGTTGGGGACAAAAATTCCCAAACAGTTGGGGACAATAATTCAATTCCTATGGGAAAAATGATTGTCCCCAACTTTTCCCAACCGAAAAAGTTGGGGACAATAATTATTCCCATAGGAATTGAATTATTGTCCCCAACTTTTTGGGGGACAAAAATTCCCAAAAAGTTGGGGACAATAAATAAATTCCTATGGGAAAAGTTGGGGGCAATAATTATTCCCATAGGAATTGAATTATTGTCCCCAACTGTTTGAGAATTTTTGTCCCCAACTTTTGAGGACAAAAATTCCCAAATCCCTAAAGTTGGGGGCAAAAATCCCCAAAAGTTGGGGACAAAAATTCCCAAAAGTTGGGGACAAAAATTCCCAAATCACCAGAAGTTGGGGACAAAAATTCCCAAAAGTTGGGGACAAAAATTCCAAAATTCCGAAAAGTTAGGGACAAAAAATCCCAAAAGTTAGGGACAAAAATTACCAAAAGTTAGGGACAAAAATTGTAAAACAGTGCCTAAAGAGATAGCCCAAAAACATGGTAGAGAGACATGCTAAGTTATACACCCTCTGGTAATCAAACATGGCTGGCTGAGACATCCACCGTCTTTGATTTTAATCTGACGTTCGCTCTCTTGCAAACCCGACCTCTGGCTGCCCATGATTGAATTCCTGCAGCTTTTCAGTGGTCACCAGCCAGCCACCCTAGGTCTCTTGTGTTTCCGGCGACAAATCATCATTCCATGCTGCTAATTGTCCTGCACTTGGTTTAAAAGCCGAAAAATCCACATGGTTGTCCCCTTTTTTCCCAAAAACAACTCTAAAACCATCTACGGTAAGTCTAAGTTCATCAATTTCTTTACCTTAAAATGTCCCCAGAAAATCCATCCATCCATCCCCCATCCATCGCTGGCAGGGCGTCATCCGCCTCTTCCGGCGTCATCTTCTCCATAGCCTCCAACTTGTCATCGATGTCTTCCAAACCCGCCAGGGAGGAGGCCTCCGTTTCAGGCCAGAATGGGCCAGAGATAGAGAAATTCATGATCTGATCTGATGGATGATCTTCCATAAATGGGAGTATCTGATATGTGTATTTGTATATGTATTATGTATATGTAAATATTTCACATATATATATATATATATGATATATATATATATATTATATATATATATATATTATATATATATATATATTAGGGGGGTCCATAGTCATGGGGCAACCCCAATAGATGGTTGATTTGCTGGATAATCCCTTATAAGACATGATTTTGGGGGTAGCCCCATGACTTAGGAAACCTCTCTCAACGCACGCACGGAGGGAACCTTGGCACGTCCTTCCGAATCCGTGGCGGGCGATAAGGAGAAGACCCAGCCGACGAAGCCGAAGCCCAAAAGGACCACCTGGGGATGGTCAGGAAAAAGGTCTGAGTTCTTTATCAGTTTCATGCACGAATAATGGGGAGATTGTTGATGATGATGATGATGATGATGATGATTATTTTTGCATCGGACAAAATGCGGCTATCTTTTTGTAGTGAAGTCTGAAAATGCACTGCGTTACTTCAACAAATAGACAGCTCTCCATTGGTCTCTAAAGCCTCAATCCCCCCCATCCTTGAGTTCTCCACCACAACACCCAAGATGGTGAGTGCAAAGCCCATGGGATCACCCTGCGACCAGTGGGCTGTCACTGAACTTCGTCGAAAGCCATTGAACTTGGATCTTTTTCGGTTTGTCAATGCTCCTAAATTGGCAAATCATCATCTGCCTTATGAAAATTGCCATTTGGGCGGGGTACCGCATAGCATATTTTTAGATCCATTTGTTTGCAGAAGGAACGCTGAAAGAAGAATTTAAGACATGAAAAGTTGAGGGTTGAGCCAGTTCAGCGAATGACCAGTCAAGATCTGGGCGGGTTTCTGGGCCTGAATGGTGCACATTTCTCTATCGGGATACCCTATGGCCTGTCAAACATTGGAAAATGATGATAAACCAATCTGAAGCGTTGAATAGAATGGAGGCATCCCCAAAATCCGCTGGTTGAAACCCTTGTTTTCCCTTTGAAAACTGCCATAAAATGGGAAATACCGCACCCCCCATGTCTATTTTTACATCCACTTAATCCATTTAGGTTGATGAAATCCATCCAAATTTGGATCTGAAAATGGGGTACCCCCAAAATTAGAATATCTGCGATTTCTTTATTTCTTTTAAAAAGAATAATCCCATGACCCGTTCATACGAAACACCCCAATTGCATGGTCCCAATGGAATGTGGAAATTCCCTACATCCACCATGGTTTCGTTTAGGGGTGTTTAATATAAACGTGGGAAGGGATTAACAAATCATTATTGACCATTATATATTTATAACCATTATTCATCATTATCAACCATTATTAACCATTATTAATCCTTGGTTACCCTCACTTTTGTAAGGCACTGGGATGCCCAGCGTTCTCCTCTTGCGCCCAAACCGGCCAAGAGAGTCCGCAGCTCAGCGGCAGCAGCGCACTGCTGGGACTGGCCTCCGGCCGCCGCAAAGCGCGCAACTCCAACCTGCGTGGCCAAGGCACCATGGTGGACAACCTGAAAATGGTGAAGATACACCCAAGTTATGGATTAGTTATGGTCATTTTGAGAAAATGATTTTCTGAACCATTTTCTGACGCATCAAATTGGGGGGTATCAAAATGACCGTTTTTGAGAAGAACCCAAATTTGTAGATCATCTACCCATTCGTCTACTAAAAGTGGAGAAGGTATGTAGTCTCTGGTCCCCAAGGCGGCCAGGGGCAGACCTCAGCTGGGAGAAACCTCTCGTCTCTTCAAGAAGCTTGAGGTTCAATGGATGTTGTTTTGCAGACCCTGCAGTGACCCCCAAACAAAAAAAACACCAAAAAATTCTGAGTTCAGTAAAACCAATGATGCTATTCTCCCACATTCTGAATTTGCGACTGTAGCACTGTAGCTTTCATCCAAGCTGTTTCGTCAAGAAACTGTCCCATTTTCGGCCTGGATGGAGATAGAAAGCTGAGTACTCCAAAGCCATGGAGTACAGCAAACACCTCCGTTCGTTCGCCATGGAGACACTCTGAGCTCAGCAGGTCAATCTCGAAAATCCCCCAGAAATCGCCAATGAAAATTGCACCAATATCATCAAGATATGTCGTTGGCTATATCAAATATCCAGGAAAAAATGATGTCCATTATATAATTATCCATTCAAAATGATGATTTCCATTCTCATCGTTCATGATTATCCATTATCATCTAATGATCCAATTGATATTTCATATGGGTAACTATTGACTGACATTCATTGATACGGAGGTTTCCTAAAATGCTGGTAGCCCCAAACCATGGGTTCCAATACCAAAATGATCTCATTTTGGAAAAAATTTGCGGTACCCCATTTCAGGAGACCTCCATTAATATTGAATCGATAGCCAGCACATCGCCAGTAAATTCACATAGACCCTGCGATAAATCGGCCTTGGAAGTTGAGTTTCCACGAAAAAAAAAATGGTTGATCCTCAAGAGGCCAACTGTTGAGGCGCCAGAGGCTACCCGGCCTGGTTATGTCAACAGCCATTGAAGCCATGGCCCAAATAGTGGATGAATCCCCATTGATAGCATGGTGGATCTTTCCGTTATGTAAACCTTTGCCAGAGGCTATCCATATTCATCTTACTGGTGCTAAACGTAATGGATGGGTTGCTGGGGGTTGCTGGGGGTTGCTGGGATGATTATTACTAGTGATTATGGAGAATTCCCTCATTCCCTGCGTTTAGCACCAGTAAGATATTCATCAAATATCCGCGATTTCTCCACTTGGCGCCCCAGCTCCGGTTAGTGGCATCAACCGGCGACGTGCCATGTCGCGGATCGCGGATGACCGCGAGGAATCTCAAGGAACGATGGAAATCTCAATGAAAAAAAACATGTTGGATATTCATGGACATACAAACTGAAGTCTCAATGGAAAATTGTCATAAAACTCCACACTTGCAAACATTCCAAAGTGCTTCTCTACTCTTGCAATGGGATGTTTCGATGCACCTGTCAACCCCCTTTTTTTGGCACTCGGTTGTGGAATTCGGATTCAACAAATGCGGTGCCACAAATGCGTCTGTCTTAAGAGCTAGCTTAGAGGCTCAGAGAGTGGATTGTTTACCCCATTTGCAACTGCATCTATGTGGACATAAAATGCCTACATGCTCATGTACCCTGCTTTGTTGCTTGTTTCTACAACTGGTGTCACTATCAGTGATCTGTGTCATGTGATTCTTTGTTTGTAAAAGCAAGACTTCGGCGGAGAATACATATGCCTTTTAGAGTGTACCATGTACATGATCCAGAGGGGTGCACATAAATGGAAAAAAGACCAGGCATGGTCCAATCTACGACCAGAATGGCAAAACTCAGAATCATAATTTCAGGATATTTCAGGCAGGTACATTTTGAAATCTGTCCTGTCTCAAGCCCATCATCTTTAAAGTAAGAGTAGATTGGGCGAAAAAATACGAGCCAAGAGCAAACGCATCCAAAGTTTCACTATGACTGGAGAGGTGACTGTTTCTTTTGCGAAACACATGCAAAGCACCTGCAAGGCCTCAGAACCTATGCTGGATGCCCGAAATTATTGGAAGTCCGCTCTGGCCAAACTTATTGTCCATGTCTTGTCGCCATTTTCACTCTCAAACTTGTAGTCTTGGGGGGGTCCCACATTTGTAGATACATCCAGTGTCCATTCTCAGTTGCTTAAATGATGCTTAAATCCCCATCAATTGGTTGATTAGTCCTTCTTCTTGATGGTTAAATCCTCATTTTCAATTGGTTTATTGAATGCTTCAATCAGTGCTGCTTTAAATCCCAGTGAAACATCCCCTTCTGAAAAATCAGCGCGGAAAACGCCTCCTGGACTTCAGAGCTGGGGCAACCTGGAAACTTTGGACACCAACCCTCGGGACCTTGGGGTTTCTCACGTAATTGACCTGGAATTCAAAAGATCTCACCCATCAAACGCAGCGAATCTACGGCGAATCAAAAATCGCCGCACCTTTCAGCAAGGCCAGCAGGGAATGCACCAACGGCTCGCTCAAACGCACTTGTCGGTTACCTTAGGCACGACGATCAACAAATCTCCCAGAGATGGTGATTTTCGGGCAAAAGATGGTGCAAACTCGCCGGAGATTGGATTTTTATGTTATTTTTAAGGCAATTCAACATAAGATGGCAACAAAAAAAATGGCAAATGTGTATAGTCACCTCTATTTTCTGGACTGTAAGCCTGTTGAATTGGGGGAAGTACCTTGACAAAGCCAACTAAGGGGGACAAAGGTCCTTCGAGTACAGTCGTGAATAAGTCTTCAAAGATGTTGGATGTGGACTAAACTAACTCCCCCAAATTCAAAGGTGAGCCCCACAAAAACACGGGATTGTTACAGGATGGTGCCCCCCAGTTATAAGCTGGTTTATAAACCCCATTTACTATAGTTATATCTACCAAAAACCATACTTAAGCCACTTATAAGGCAATTTAGCTTTCTTGGGGGCCCCATCCTCTAGTAATTAAGCCCTTTTCAGGACCTGTAATGTTCTGATGGCAAAGCAATTAAGCCTCTGCCAGCTCAGCTCTACAGAACAGGCCGCCGCACTTAAAAATTCCCTGCGGAGGCATGACACGAGGCGTCGATTTCAGTTTACACATGCACGAAGGTGGTATCCTAGGTAAGTTGATTTACAAGTTGGCTACCTGGGGTATATAAACATATCTACATGTAGAGTCATGTAGTGGATGTATCTACAAGTTGATTTATGGTGGAGATATCTACATATAGATGGGGGTGTAAATCAACTTATAACTGGAGGGGCTCTACACTTCGAATGACCCGAGTGCCACAGCCACGGTCCGACCCGTTTCACTTTTTTCGTCGGTCAAGCCCGGCTAGGACTGGCAGAAGCTAGGACTCCCCAAACAGAGATCACTGCTGCTGCGATGTCTGAATAAACTCGCCTGCACGACTGGTCACTGGGTCGCTGGGACCTCTGAAACGGACGTGAATGTGATATGGATGTTGGATGGATAAATGGATAGATCAATCCGTGGATAACACATGCAGTGCACCGTTTGTCCATGGGCATCCTATGCGTCTGTGAATGTCCCAGGGATTGGTCAACCCCTAAAACATGGAGGCCCTGACCATCCCCCTTCACATCTTTTCATCTGGAAATAGAATACCCCAAAATCCAGACCATCATCATCATCAACATCATCATCACCATCAACATCATCATCATCAACATCATCATCACCACCACCATCATCATCATCATCCGCATCATCATCATCATTATAAACATCCTCATCCTCATCATCATCATCATCAACATCATCATCAACATCCTCATCCTCATCCTCATCCTCATCCTCATCGTCGTCATCTCATCATCAACATCCTCATCCTCATCCTCATCCTCATTGTCATCATCATCATCATCATCATCATCATCAACATCCTCATCCTCATCGTCAACACCATAAAGATCTTCAACATCCTCATTCTCATCGTCATCATCATCATCAACATCCCCATCCTCCTCCTCATCGTCATCATCATCATCATAATCAACAACATCCGCATCCTCCTCCTCATCGTCATCATCATCATCAACATCCTCATCCTCATCCTCATCGTCATCCTCATCTTCATCAACATCCTCGTCCTCATCATCATCATCATCATCATCATCAACAACATCCTCATAATCATCCTCATCCTCATCCTCCTCATCATCATCATCAACATCCTCATCCTCATTGTCATCGTCGTCATCATCATCATCAACATCATCATCATCATCAGCATCATCATCATCCCCATCATCATCATCATCATCAACATCATCATCATCAACATCATCATTCTCATCATCATCATCATCAACAACATCATCCTCATCTTCATTCTCATCCTCATCATCATCTTCTTCATCATCATCAACATCCTCATCCTCATCATCATCATCATCATCATCATTATCAACATCCTCATCCTCATCATCATCATCATCAACAACAACATCCTCATCCTCATCCTCGTCATCATCATCATAATCATCATCATCATCGTCATCATCATCATCACAATCATCATCCTCATCCTCACCCTCATCCTCATCTGCATCATGATCATTGTCGTCATCATCATCATCATCATCAGCAGCAGCATCATCATCATCATCCTCCTCATCATCCTCATCCTCATCCTCATCCTCACCCTCATCCCCATCCCCATTCTCATCATCCTCATCCTCGTCATCATCATCCTCATCATCATCATCAACATCATCATCATCATCATCATCCCCATCATCATCATCAACAACATCATCATCATCATCATCAACAACATCGTCATTCTCATCATCATCATCATCATCATCAACAACATCATCCTCATCTTCATTCTCATCCTCATCATCATCTTCTTCATCATCATCTACATCCTCATCCTCATCCTCATCCTCATCATCATCATCATCATCATCATTATCAACATCCTCATCATCATCATCAACAACAACAACATCCTCATCCTCGTCCTCGTCATCATCATCATAATCATCATCATCGTCATCATCATCATCATCATCATAATCATCATCATCATCATCATCATCATCACAATCATCATCCTCATCCTCATCCTCATCTGCATCATGATCATTGTCGTCATCATCATCATCATCAGCAGCAGCATCATCATCATCCTCCTCATCATCCTCATCCTCATCCTCACCCTCATCCCCATCCCCATTCTCATCATCCTCATCCTCGTCATCATCATCCTCATCCTCGTCATCATCATCATCATCATCATCATCATCATCATCATCATCATCATCATCATCATCATCTCACTCAACTTTCCATTTCACAGCTATACAGTATACATTTTCAGACACCTCCCAACTATCAGCTGGTGAAATTCCCCAATGATTTCCTCGAAATCCATCAGTCCCATAGGACCAGCTACCTGAGCCAAAGCGCCACAAGCTTTTTTCGCTGAAGTCTCCTTGGGAGGTTCCTGACGAGTTGTCGATGGGGAAATCAGCCAGCACAATGGCTGGAATAGATGGTTAATAGTGGGATAATAGTGGGATAATAGTGGGATAATAGTGGGATACCATCTGGTTATGACTAACAGTTTGCCATGGAAAGATTCACCATGCTATTAATAGGTAAACCATCTATTTCGATTAGGGCCATCTATACCATGGCTATGTTAAATAACCAGAGGGTAAATGCGAACATGATGATTATTATGTGTTTGTTGACGTTTTAAACATTAAAAATCATGAAATGATATAAATATGTAAATTGTGTAAATACACAAATGATAAACAGACTAAACCTGTCATGTGGGAAACTCCATTCCGAATGCTCCAACAACGCAGGGGACACCAGGGATACCCCTCCTCAGCGTGCCAGAGGTGTTGCGGACCTCGAGCAGTCATCGAAAGCAAATACAGCAACCGACTTCATGAATCTGAATCAGTCAAGCTCGAAGCCCAGTCCAAACAATTACTTCCGCCGCATCTTCGACATCTATCTTGACATCTGTCTGTATTCCGTGACTTTACTCGGGTGTTTCCATAAATTGGGAATCCCCAAAATGGATGGTTTATAATGGCAAATCCCGTTAAGATGGATGATTTGGGGGTACCCCCATTTTAGGAAACCTCCGCTTGCAAGTCGGAGCAAACGAAAAGCTGAGTTGAGGTCATGTATGCAAAGTACCTCAGAGTATAGCTGTGACTTGGCAAATGGAGCTCAAGGATCGTGGAATTGAAGATCCTGGACCAGCAATCCTCCTACTTCATCTAGTCAAGTTAATGTGCTGGTAACTGCTGGTAATCTCTGTGTATTCTGGATTCTGGTGTTCACTTCATTCAAGTTCCAAACCCCCGGCATGGCATATCTTCACTCGTTGCAACTCAGATGCTGCTCCATGGGGGATGCCTCACCCTTCATGAACCTTGGGCACATGATGACAGCTGAGCTATTGTGCCACGGAGGTTTCCAAACATGGCCGAGCCCAAAATCATCCAGTTGATTAGTTATTTTGAATGTGAGAGCCAAAGGTTTAGAGCACCCAAAAAAAATTGAAAAGGCCACATGTGAATTGCCTCGCTTTTACTTCCCAAACCCTTCTGTCTGAATCTAGGAACACACGCTTCTGTAGATCTGTTCTACTCCACTATTTTTTTTTGCAAACGACAGTGGTCTTGTTAAACTGTGTGGCACAAGCGTGCGCTTAAAGAGGGGGGAAAAAAGCTGAGTCTTTTGCAGTGCAGCGACAGCACATCAGCTGTCAAGCAAGCTAATCGAGTAGAGACAACCTATTTACTTTCAAAACCAAATGCTTCCGCTGAGAATCTTCAGGTACCACTTGCAGAAGTCCGTGAAAGTCCTCGGAAAATAGCACGAGCTGAAGGACAGTCTTTGCAGCTGCAAATGGTTTTGATTCGGCCTTGGGGCCCCAAGGGGAGAAAGATGTGAAGTCATGTGCAGTCGGGATATTGATGTTTGGGCTCTTAGTCTTACCTTGGGGACTCTTCCACCTCGCCATTGAACAACTTGGTGAATTGATGCTCCCAGGCAGCTCAACTTGGTCGCTAAGGCACACAGAACCACGGCCATCTTTGTCAAAGTCTTTCCAGAACATCTTGAACACGTGCTCTGGGACCTGTCGCTTTGACTGGCCACTACCTAATCGCAATCCATAAATTGGCAGGTAAATACATTGTTTGCCTACCAATCAAGCCGAAGGCCTCAGGGCCCTTTGGGGCGAATTCCTTCTGGATCCTTGGGCAAAAGAGTGGGATAAATCCATGATGGATCACTTGATGCAGCGCGTCGTGGAAAGCACACAGCGAAATGATAATCAGGAAACATGGGAAAAACACTAAAAAGTACAACATTTTGACACATGCAGAACCATGTTCCTCTTCATTTCGATACACATGTGAAAGCCGTGGATGAACAGAACCAGTGGCACACAGCTACAGTGTGTCCCACGCTGACTCGAATGGAGGTGGAGCCAAACCTATTGTATCAGCGAGTCTAGACAAGCAGCAACTGACGAAACTCATTCATCTCCAGAGTATTGCTGTTGTCCGTATCAAGCTTCTTGAACTCATCCTCAGGTTTTGCTGGATTTACAGAATTGAAGAGAAAATGTGTATATATGTATATATGTATATGTGTATATGTGTATATATGTTTATCGATAAGAACAACGATTTCCATGATTTCCTGTAGTTTTTCACTTAAACTCAACCATTGACGGATTGAGGGAGTGAGACCTGCACCACATCATTCTGCGACGGACTTTGCCAGCTGAAGTCCATCAACATGGAGTTACTACCCAAAACCACCAAGATCATGTGATTTAGTTGGGAAACCCATTAACTGGGGTATACTGATATATGAATATATACAAATATCCATACATAATCAATATTCAATAATATTGTGTATATATATACATACATATCCAAACCATTGTATCTATAGGTATATGTATAATACAGTGACAATACATCTCCACACAATATATATATATATATACAAATGCAACGTAGATTTATGGTCACATTTTTAAAAAAATGTTAAAGACATCCCCAGCACTGATCCAAGGAGCATAGAGTTTCTCCACTTCCAAAATGGAGCGGTTGAGGCTCTTAGCCACGCTACGCACCAAGATCTGGTCGCTCCTAACCGAGGCCATGGTTCTTTTTGAGTGGACCTGGGGTAGTAAACAATCCATTGAACGGGGATTTGTACATATATATATATATACATATTCATGTTATATATATATATATACGTATATACATAAATATGATATATATATATATTTACTTACATATATATATATATTTACATATATACATATATAGAACTAGATGCATATATACATAGATATACATATATACATACATAAATATATACATACATATATACATATGTATATATATATATATATTCATATATATACATACATATATATATATATACACATAAATATATATATACATATAAATATATACATGCATACATACATATATATATATACAGATATGTATATATATATACATATATATACACATAACATACATGTATTTATATACATGTATACATATATATATATATATGAGACACATACATATACAGTATGTGTATATATATATATACACATATGTATCTATATATATATATGACATTTACATAATCAACAGAATGCCAACGAATATGAGTTGGATTTGTCCTTAAAAAAAGGTACGGGAAAACCTCTAAATCCCTTGGGTAGGCATTGTTGATAATCCCTCTCAAATCTTTGGATCCAGTCGTTCTTGTTTTCGGGGGAACAGTGGTATGTTTTGAAAGATCTCCCCGAGTTATGGGTGGTTGAAACCATCAACCAGCTGGACCAGCTCAAGCGGTCAAGCTGCCCTGGTGCTTGGGCGAATCAAAAAGTGGCCACCAAGACACGCGATGTCTTCTGGGATGAAGTTCTCTCCATAGTCTAGAATGTCCTCAAATGCGGCAGCACTGATGATATACTGTACCTACCATAAAGGCTGTAACATAGATGTTGTGCTTAAACCAAGGAGCAGTTGTGGAGCTATCTTTCATCTAACCATGGGCTACCAGACCCACAAGTTTGATCATCTTCCCGCAAATTGTTGCAATGGGCCTCCAAAGACGTTAGCTGTGAAAAACAAAACTGGAAGCCAATTCAGAGGTATAGTGACCTCCTTTTATCTCTTTTTTCTATGACATTGCCCTGGAACTCTTTTTGAAAGCTGAAGTCCCAGTCCCGCTTGGTTGTTCCACGTTAGGTGTATCAGTTCCGAGGGTCTATGCCCATGAGCTCTGCATACCAACGCTGAAACTCGTCGAAGTCGATAGTTCCACTGCCATCTGCGTCGACCTATCCACAGATCGATGGGACCCTGGAGATCCTTGGGGGGACATTGTAGGATACAGGCCTCGTCCCACACAGCCCAGACTTCCTTTTTGTCAAGATCCTGGTGCAAACGGTACCCAAATATTGGGATGATGATGATGATGATGATGATGATTATGATTATGATTTTGTTATATCATTATATATATAATATATATATATACATAATACATATAATAAAATTGGGATGGTATCTGCCATTTTCTTGGTCCTATCAGAATTCCAGCGCTTCGTGACAGAGCTTTTTTTTTGAAGTAAAAAAAAAAAACAGGCTCCCGAGTCCAATGATCATCTCATCATTTACGGTGTTTCTTAGGAATCCCAATATGGGTATGGATCAATACCTATTAATACCATTTTTAGTGGGATGAACATCCATTTACCAGCTATTTTGATGTGAACTACAGGGGCACAAGGTTTTGACACACTGCCATATAGATACCAACTGGTGCAGGATTTCGCAACCATCCACTCCGATTCTCCAACTCCGTCCTCTGGTGGGCGTCGCAACAACTTGGAAAGGAGGGGCATGAATTCCTTAGTGCGTCCATACGGATTTATCTGAAAATAGGGTACCCTTAAAATCTGTTGGTATGCCTGGTATGCATTTTCCCTATGAAAATTCAAATAAACCCATATATCATCCCATATCATCATATCATCAGCTTCTTTGAATCGCCCTTGATTCAACCACTTTGGAGTCTGATCTCAACTTCAGGAAGGCTTCCATCTTCAATGCACCGTAACATCCATTTAATCCTAAGTGATTTGCCCGAAACCAAAACTTCAGAATTACTCGTCAGTCCTTTGGATTTATGCCAAATATGCCAATTGTTTCTGCATTCCTATGTTCTCCTGTCTACTCCTTAAAGCTATAGCTCAGTGGGTTCAAAAATTGAGCCAAAAAAAAACATTGATTAATCATCATGTCCTTTCACTTCCTTTCACTTCCTCCCTTGTCCTTTCGTGGCTCCGCCAAGCAGCTGGGGGTTCGATCAAGCCACTGCCGTCCGAGTCAAAATCCATAAAGATCCGGCGGATGGAGTTCAGGTCGGTGACCGCCTTCGTGGCGCAAATTTCCAGCTCCCAACGGTCCCTTCCCATTTTTCCAACGGTGAATTCGTGGTGAATTCCCACGTTTTTTTGTGGGTTAAAGATTGGTTAAAGCTTCCCGATCATAGCTTCAAAGCCTATCTTTGTTGTAACTTTGTTGTAACTGGAGACCTTCTTGTTCACCACCTCCGAGGCCACAGCTTTATCTCCTTGTTGGCAGCGGCTGGAATCAGCCGGAAAATTCGTGGTGGTATATACCCATTATATAAATTTATATAACCTATTATAGCCTATTCTCATAAGCCACCATTACTGGTTGGTGATTTTCCAGCCATGTTTGATTAGCGAAGGGTATCATCAATTCGAGTGGGACTTCATGGGATTTCATGGGATTTCGTGCTGTAACCTTCCTGCGGCATGAACCCTCTCCGTGAGGGTAACCAGATTGAAAGCTGCGCAGAGTCTGCCCGCGGTTTGCGAAGTATTTTTTCGAACAGCAAATGATTGATTGATTGATTGATAGATAGATAGATAGATAGGTAGATAGGTAGGTAGGTAGGTAGATATAGATATAGAGAGAGAGAGAGAGTCTGTCCTTTAGCTGCTGCACTGCCGTGTACCACTTTGCAAGTTACCCCAACTCAGACTGTATTTTTTGCATTGATCTGCAAACCACTGATCTTGGAAGTAGTACCGAAAAGCCTAGAAAGATGTTGATGCTGATGATGAATTCATGATCTTCTGATGATCCTCTGATCGTCCTCTGATTATCTTCTGATTTCTGAAGATCTTTTGACGCTCTGATGATGATTTGGTGATCTAGTGATGATCTTGTGATGTACAATTCCAGCACCCATTTAGTAGCTCACAAGAGAAGGAGTGATTCCATCCGCAACTGGGACATATCCTTCTGCCTGTTGACCCACAAAGCCCCCAAAAGGGTCAACAAGTCCCATCATGCGCCAGGGCTCTAAGGAGACTGTTCCTCAAACTGTCTCCAACTTCAGATTTTCGAACCCCTTCCTTCTGCTTCCGACCTCGTCCCAAACTGCACCGCCAAGGCGGCTCCGAAATTGACTCGACTGAGCCCCATCTTGGACCCATGTGGGGGAAACAACAGCGAGACCCGTTGGCTGTTTTCGTTGAACTCAAAAACAAGGACAAAAAGGAGAAAATGATCAGCTGAGTAGCTTCCCTCTTCTTCTTTTGCTTCTTCGAACCTGAACCGCTCCGTCAGGGTAGCACCATCAACTGTTTCAGCTCTTCCATGATATTCTGGTGCTTGGGCTTCTCCGGATATATATAGATTAACAATTAACACCTTCTCAATTCAGAAAACACACAGCATCATCAGGCCTTTGCTCAACTTTCTTCTTGGCCCACCTCAGATCCACCAGTGGAGTTGACCAAAAAAGATGGCTTTGTCAGGCTTTGTCTGAAAATTGGGAGCCCATTTGTCTGAATTTGTCTGAAATGATGGATCTTCACTTTTCCCGGTTTCCCGGTTTCAAATCACCACAACTTGGCTTTGTACCAGTGGTACAAACCCGAATTGTGCTGGCGTCAAGCCGCCATTGGGCGACCCTCCCAATGGGTATCCTGAGCCCGCTGGCTCATCGAACTTGCTGCTTGTGTTTGAGCGGAGCTTGGGTGTGCCTGAGCAAAGAAACTCTTGTTTCCGAACTTTTTCAGAGACGGAGTCTTCGTTGGGATCACCCCCGGGCCTACCAGAACTTTAGCTCAATGGGAAAACAGAAAGCAATCCTGTCAGCCGCCCTGGCAGCCCAACCAATGGCCCCAATGGCCCCCTGGGACCATCCCGCACCTATCGTTCGATCCGAACGCTGTTTGGTCATTTCCCACCTTGGGCGACGACAGGTCCAAGCTGGGGGAGATCCAAGCCAAAAAAAAACAATGCTCAAACCGTCTTGCGTATTGGTTACCCTCTGGTTATTTAACATAGCCATGGAAAATGACCCATTTATAGATGGTTTACCTATTAAAAATGGTGATTTTCCATGGCTATTAAAAATAACCAGAGGGTATATGTGGTTTAATCCTGTTATACTGGTCAGGCAATGCGAATTTTGATCCCACCCATGGCAAACCCGATCCCATTGAACGTGCACCACTGCTCAGTTCCAACAGGTTGACCTTTCTTTCGATCTTGGCCCAACGGTGTGAGCAGTACCCAGTTCCAGTTTGCATTGTCAAAGCCAAACACACGAAGACCGGGGTATAAGCTACACACCTCTGAAATTTTGAAAATGATGGAAAAGTGATCAGCATCAAGAAAGTAAGGAAGTACTTTTTGATCTATTTGGGGGGAACCCCTTTCCATATGAGTTGCAAAAAACACCACAGTGCAGGCAAGGCGCCCGTTCCAAGACGCTGTTGGAGAGACAGGTGAGAACTCCCTCAGCGATTGAAATCGCCAGGCCAAAATCCGGATCATGGACCTGTTGGATGAATCTCAAATGGGTACTCCTTGATGTAAATGATGGGATCATATCAATGTCAACCCAAGATCTGGTCAAAATTGAAGACTCTGAAGAACGGCTGAAGGCACAGGAGCCCCGGACGCTGCATTCCCTGAGCAGGACGCTGCCAACCATCGGCTCCCAGTGGAAAGGAGAATCAGTGCCAAAAAATACCCCAACATGGTTTAGCAACATTGAGTCATGTTGTGTTCAAGACAACAAGACCTGTTCTCAATCTCCTCAGAAACATGTTTGCCGCAGAGGGAAAAAAAAACACCATGGTTTGGGCATCCGGGCATTGGCTTTCCTTCTCCTGAGCACAGCTATACTCCCCACCCAATGCGGTGTCTGAGAAGTCTCTAACTGCCTGAGTCTGGCAATCTTTTTTACATGGGCTGGAAAATCCATGGGAATCCCAGATATTTGTTCTATGATTTTCCTATGAAACTTCCTCATCTGAAATATGGTCCTCCACAATGGATTGCGAACACATGCACATCAGTGTTCCCTCCCTGAGCATCGCAGCGGAAGACGTCTTGCGGTCGAGTCACTAGCATCTTGCTGGCTGTGGCTTGGAAGATCTGTGCAAAGTTTTGCGACTTCGGTGAGGTTGGGGAGGAGGAAGCGCTTTCTTTGCCCTGATGATCAAGTTCTGTTGCGGAAGCCACTGATTGTTGGCTTTGCTGACACGCGAACATACACCAACCAAATGATCCAAATGCACTTGATTTGAAGCATTTAGAAATTGAATCCAAACAAAATATGGCATGATTGCAAACAGAGTTTGAACAACGACTCCAACAAACAAGAGTTCAAGATTTGCACGGGCGTGGCTGGGCTTCAAAAAGAACTTGTTATGAGCATTTTTTTTAGCCTGTGCAGGAACTGGTCATTTGATCATCCCAGCAGAAAGCGTCTCGTGTTTAGATTGTGCTTACTGCAAAGGGTATGCAACGATTGCAAAATAGATTACAGTACGATGGATCTCAAGTTGGAGGAACATGGAAGGAATACAGTAGATTGTTGGCAATCTAGTTTGCGAGTTTTGGACGCAATCCGACAAAGCACGAGGAAAAGTAAATTGGTTTCAAAGGACCTAGTCATAATTATATAGTCATTGTTCCATTGGATATTGATCATTTACATTAATTTACATGTTTCACATTACATGTTTCACAAGTTCACTTCTCAACAAAGCATCTCTTATCTTCTTACATTCCACTGGGGCTGGGGGATCTCTGGGAGCTGGGTGGCCCGAAGAGTCCGTGCCTTACTCGAATCGCCTTCCTGGAAGCAAGGCTCGCTTGCGCACGGGTGAAACGAGGAACATTTTTGGGAAAAAGGGGGGTGAAGAGTTCAACATGATGATTTCTCTATTTGATGATCCAATGATCCGGATGGAAACGGAAAATGATGATTTCTCTATTTCTCTATTTGAACATGATGATTTCTCCATTGATTTAGGTCTAAAAAAAAGGCGAAAACCACCAGCCAACCCTCGTTGATCCACTCCGCACATCTGCGGAGCGCATCTATACTGAGCCGCCGACTACGCGATTAGCTAACTCCTGTGGAAGCTCAGGACTCCACACATGGTTTGATTTGAAAATGGGGTATACCTTCCCTGAAACGGCCAGTTGAGTGGAGGACAATGAAAATAAACCATGAAAACTGGGCATACCTTGAGACAAGCCCAAGTACTTCAAATGCTTGCAGCCCCGAACCAGAATTCATGCATCAATATTCCAGCCTTCCGAGATTGAAGGGCATCAGAGTCCTGCGGGTAGCAACACACTGCGCCAAGAAGGGTACCAAATGCGAATGATGCCAATAATCCTTAAGCTCAAAATAATTGGTTTAAAGGAAAATTTATACAGTTGGTTTACGGACCCATTGACTCTATCTCTAGCTATATAAATCCCTCACAAACCCAAACGTTAACCATGTGATTTTCGCGTCTATAGCATGCGGCAGCCCCAGCCCCCAAAGTCCAGCTTGGGCTTCACCTGGCAGGTACCATCCAGTAAAACCGTTTTGTTTTCATATTTATGATATACATTGATATACATACTATGGTTTAGTATGTTTATCTACAAAATAAACATATATAATATGTGTAGTAGTCCATTTACTTGACACAATGGGTTTTAGTAAAAACCATTCATTTTTTTCGCCAGTGTATTTCAGTACAAACCAACCGTTTTCGGGGATCAATAATTTCACCAAAATACAGCAGATCCGCTTCCATCATTCTATTCCGGTTCACCGCACCTGCTAGGGGTTAACAGGGGGTTCCAGTGTCTTTGTGTTTTCAAATCGCTCGGGTTTCCAGCTGAGCCCACTGCATTCAGTTTTGCATGGCATCCTTTCTCATCAGTTGAACTTCTTGAAGTCTTTCTCTGAGAGACTCTGTGGCTTGGAACCTCATTCTTTTCCAGTAAGTTTGCGTTGTTTTGAGGGTATACAAGCCATTTCCAGACACGCCCCAATTTCGTCGTAACTCGACAAATCCCCTTTTTTGATGGTTAATTCCCGATCTTTGATGGTGAAATCCCAGTGTTTGATAGTTAAATCCCCATTTTGGATCGGTAAATCCTGTCAATCGCTTGCTTAAAATCCAATTAAAAATCGATGGCACATTCCACATCCCCAGCATCACCTTCACCGCTCGTGGCAGCTGCAGGGGCTCGTTGCCATCCTGTTTTGTTGTGCCAAAAGGGATATTTCATGGGTTTCGTAAGTTCACTTTGAACTTAATAATCAAGGTTTTTTGTTTTGACACCCAAAGTTTTGACCATTTTTTAATCAACTCCGTCTGTTTTCCTCTGAACCAATTTTGGGATGATTGGGATCGTCGTCGTCGTCGTCATCATTGTCGTCGTCGTCATCATCATCATCATCATCATCATCATCACTGTTACTATGATAGTTCTCATCATCAACATGACCATTGTCACCAGTGCTATCAAAAAATCACCACTGGAGACACTCTCTTGCTATCTTTTTCACTGACCCACGTGTGCAAGATTCCCCGGAGTTACTTGACTCCCCAGAGGCCTCCTACACCAGAAGGGATGGTTATCCCCAACCATTGTACAAGTGGGATCATACAAATGGATGATTGGATGTTGGTAGTAAAAAATCTCCTCATTTTATCCAAAAATATCCTCATCATATCCCCATGATATCCCCATAAATGGTTGATTTATATCCTCTATCATGTTGGTTTGGGCTGCACCACTTTTGTTCGCCACGGCCACAGTCTCACACCGCTCCTTGGAGTTCTCCGATGGAAATTTGGGGCGCATTCCCTGAGACCGAAAGGACCGAGGTACAGCTTTCATGTTGGGTTCTTGGGGAACTGCGCGGCTGCACTACCATTGATCAATTGATCAATGACTTAATCACTGATTTAGTCAATGACTCGCAAGCGAGTCATGATTCTCATGAAGTAACAGAGCCTAGAAAGTGGCAACATATCTTGAGTCCATGTCAAATCCCATCACTGCAACCTTTTGAGCATACTGAGCAAAGATCTTGAAAAGACACTGTTGGAAAATTGATGAAATCCACATTTTGTGGGGAGGTCCTATATTTTCCCCTAGATTTTCCCAACAAAAGAACCGGCAAAAACTCGCCTGCACGGGTCGCACCTGCACAGGCCAGTTGTGAAAGGGAAGAGATGGGGTACCCTCTGGTAAACTAACATAACTATTTAAAATGACCATTTATAGTGGATTTACCCATTAATAATGGTGATTTTCCATAGCTATGTTAGTTTACCAGAGGGTAGTCCGAGACTAGGATACCCCATTCTATCCATGGTTTTATCGTGATTTTCCCATGAAAATAAGAAAATTTGGGGGTCTATTCCCCCGTTTTTTAAGACACAGACCCCCCGCTGCTGCGGAGCCTTTGACGAGGTGCTGCCTGGTGGAGAAACCTCGGGAGTGAAGGGGATGATATTGGGATGTTATATGGTTTTAATGGGATTTTATGGGATTATATAGACTATATGTGGAATATTAAGCGAATTCAATGAAATCTATAGTCTATAGCAGGGTCTGAATCCACAAATTTCCATCACAGCATAGATGGGCGCTTAGCCGGCTTCTGAGTTCTCCGCATTCCCCACATTGGTATGTTCAGTCCTCACATTCAGAAATTGAGAAACCAAAAGTCGAACACATGGCATCTTTGAGAAAAACCTGGATTGCTGCTGAAGCAGCTGAGAGTTGCCAAGTGCATGCAGAATATTCTCATGTTCTCAGCCCAAAAAATCACTACAAACTCCAAAAAGATAGAGAAGTCAGATTCTACCAACATGGGAAATCACAGAAACCGACTTCTCCATCTCTTTTTTCAGCGTTGCAGGGCACCTGGTGGTTGGAAGAGCCCTCTCAGCTTCTCCATCCTGCAGCATCAATTCCTTAAATATTGTAGACCATCCCATTAATAATTGTTACCCTCTGGTAATTTAACATAGCTATGGAAAATCACCATTTTTAATGGGAAAACTCACTATAAATGGCCATTTTCAATAGCTATGTTCGTTTACCAGAGCGTATATGAATATTTTCTGTCATCAAAATTTGCATACCCGCCTGGAGACTAACATCAATGTGCAAAAGACACCATCTGTAGATCATGTTCAGAATTTCCGAACTCCAAACCACGGGTTTTTTTGACATCTTTTTGTAGGTTTACCTCAGGGTGTCTTAATCCTGGATGTATGAAAATCTCATAAAATCATAGTTATTGAATGGTACTCATCAAGTGATCATCTGATTCAATGGCACCTTCGGCACAGCCCTTTTTGAGTTTTCTTTGGGCTTTGTAAGGCTTTGTTCATCCGACGGCTTACACCGACTGGAAAGCGCCTCACGAGACGTCTCACGAGTACGAGGTGATGTCATCGCCTTCCTGCAATTCAGCAGCTTGTCCAGCAATGGATATATCGTTTATATGGTTTATATATCCAGCATATATACCATATAATATAAACCATAGAAACCATATAGAAACCATGTCCAAACCAAAATCTCCCATATGTATATATGTATGTGTATATATATATACATATCCACCGCAAATTTCCGAATGCCCCCAGGAGGCTTGCGAGTTCGGGATATCATATCATACCCATTTACAAACAAACAGAATTGGTTGCATGGCACAGAAAAACTAAGTCGCTCCTGGGTGTCAGTTGCATACTGGCGCCCGGAATGCTTGGCATTCGAATGTTGAAGTGATCGCTCACTTCCTCAGAGACACAGTAGCGCGTGAAGTGCGAAGTGTGCAGAGAAGTGTGCAGAGAAGTGCTAGCAACGGAACTTTCTCCCTTTCTGCTGAGCCCCATTGAGTAGTTGTACAATGAGAACAATGGAGAATCACTCTATACAATCATCTCAGGGGCTTCACTCTATTGCCTTGTGAGGGCCGAGAACACAGCGAAAAGCTCGGCAGCCTCCATTAGCTTCTCTTGGAACAGCCGTTTAGAACGGGCACACCGGGCTGAATCCGGTGGCTGCCTCAGCACAGGGGATGATGGGGCCATCTTCTCAGCGATGTCGGATGTCCGGAAGCTGAGAACCCCGACGCTTCACCTGGAAACCGCATTTTCTCCTTGGCTGTCACTGGCTGTCGGCGCAGAAGCACCGCAATTGCTGGCCATTTCTACGTAGCAAAACCATGCTTCAATTTGGTAGCCAGATCTGCAACTCACCACTTTGTGTTGGACCATTTTCTAATTTTTAGATAAGTTTTGATACCCCCAATGGCAAATCTTCTCCGCAACTTTTGGTCACGCATTGAAGCGACAGCTCAATCCGCTGCCCAGATGCTACGACGTCCTGCCAATTCTTGGTGACGCCCTTGTCCTTCGCTAAAACCTACGACGCTTCCATGGCTCAAGCACCAACTCATGGGTTGCTGGTCGACTTTTAGGTTTCCCAGAGTTTGAGACTCAAACCGTTCATTTGGTATTGACCAAAACGTTTTGTGGCAAATTAACCACTATGGACAGCAACCCTTGGTTTCCGTAAGAAATTATCTGTAATAGACTATAGTGGATTTCCATGGATTTGTCCATATCTGTGTATCTTGATTCTACCAGCAATACAGATCTACCATATCTGCAAAAATTTTAATTTTCACATAATTACATGTCTCTCCGAAAATGCTACCACATCCAGTTTGCCAACGATATCCCAGGGTTAATTTACTGGTAGTAGATTTTGGGGTTCCCATTTTTGTTGTTCATTATCCGTTGTACATTAGCATACAATGTACATCAACGTATTTCACCAAAAAAAGGCTACCCTGTTGTGAAAGGGTACCCATAGAATCTCCCAATCAAATGCTTCGTATCCGCGGCAAGGCGTTGCATCTAGCGCTGCACCTGCCCAAGCTGCACGCCACTATGAAGCACGCGCTCGGGGATTCTGCAGCGGGGAGTTGAATAGGGGGGTCGGGGTTGGTGGAAAAAAGAAAGAAACACCCAACAATGAATAACAATGAGGTGTTTTACGTCATTCATCAAGATCTGTGGGTTCCGGACACACCCATTTGCGAATAGGGGAAGTGTCTCCACAGTCTGATGGTAGGTGATGCTCCTTGTAATTTTAAGGATTGCTGCGATAGCAGCACACGGGCAAGACATGGTCAGGTACAGAATACTCTGACATGATTTTCCAGTAGTCCACACTGACTCCAAGCAATGATTTGGCTGCTACTTTGCCGGTACTTGGCTGGTAACCTCTGATAAAGCCACTGCTAAACTAAGAGATGGCTGATCCGAAGCCTAGAATTCCCTCGTTTTCAACATAGCTGCTGCTAAATGTTCATCCCCCCATTCGCATGGAAAAATAAATATGTATTGACGCATGGGCATATGACTCTGGTGTCCTGTGGTTCGAAATCCAATTTGGCTGTCGCGAAAAATGAGCTACCCCCAATCCCGAGGATTTTTTCATTGAAACTGGGTATCCGGGTATCCCCATTTTGAGACAGGCTCAACTCTACTGGTGCTATACCACTGGTGATACCACCGCTACTGTTTTCTGTTCCCATCTTCCCATCTTCCCATCTTCCCATCTATCTACCTATCGATCGATCTATCTATCCATCCATCCAAAAATCGATTCAAAATTGGGGTCCCCAAAACATGAATGGAAAATAACAAACAGACACCAGCCCCTGTGTTGTTTCTGAATTTTTGACCCATGGCAATGCCCATATGATCCAGTATTTTCTGGACAAACGAAAGTCGTTGGGGGTTAGTTACCCTCGGGTAAACATACAAAAAACTATGGAAAGATCCACCATTTTATGGGGGATTCATCCACTATTTCGACTGGGCCATTTTCTATGTCGCAAACTGTAACAGTCATTACCAGAGGCTCCATATCCAAACTGATTTCAGATGATCCGCATCCATCTCCCATATGTTGACAGCCGTACAGTCGATACGGGTTGCCACACCCACAGCGTAGTAGCCGGTCATGGGCACCACCCATGACGCCACCATGGGCTGTCTTTCTCAGCCAGGCTGCCTACCACACGGCACCAGCTTTGAGCTAGGCTGCACAATTTTTTTGGGAAAATGTCACCAACAAATCGGTTTTTCATCCACAAATTGGGATTTGTTGACCATGTTTGTCACCAAGAAATTGGGATTCTCATCAACAAAACTGGCATTTACCTGGCAACATGTTGTGATTTAAGCAAGAAATTGTTGGGAGTTGACCAAGGAAAATTGGGAGCTAAGCAACAAAACTGACGGTGGAAAGCCAACAAAGCTGGAGCTGTAGCCAACGAAATATGGAGCGGAAGCAACAAAAATGGGGTGTTTAGTTGAAAAAAGAATGACGAACAAACAATGTAAAATACAGAGATATTCTTGGGATATGACCAGCTGGTTTTGAGCCACATTTTGAAAACCCACAAGGCACAAATGGACTGGTCATCTTTTGGACCACTTCCATCTTTCACTTGGTCGGCTGAAATGGGATGAAGTGACCCTCAATCTGGATTTAGTAGCTGTTGTTATTGTTATTACTAATTGCTGTATCTATTGCTGTCATTATGATTACCATTCTTCCTACTAATATTATTGTTGCCAAATAGTACTATTGTTACCCTTGTTCCGATTATTACTATTCTTACTATTATTCCCTTTTATTAGCATTATTACTATGATTACTATCATGACTGAATCACTACTATTAATACTTAATACTGTTACTATTAGTACCCAATATACTGTTATTACTTATTACAAACTATTGATCACCAAACTGAAAACTTGGGCAGGGTCCTACTGGTACATTCACCATAGAAACATGAAGGTGACCCATTCTTGAACCCAATACCGGCTCAGCAACAGCAACACAAAAAATGATGGAAGTCGCTGCGGACGATCTCAGCGGATGTGGAGGCGCATTGCTCAGTGGCTCAGTGGCTCATGTTTTTCACAAACAACGACAATAGCAGCATCTATCACCATATTGCTAAAAGTGTCCCAGGTCAGCCGAACTTGGAAATATCAAAACACCGCACGTCGTTTGTAATGTGTGATGTTTCTTGTGATTTGGGTTTGTGATTTGTTGTCATGTGCTTGTCATGTTTTTTGTTGTGTGGTGTCGTTTGTCTTGCACCTGAATTATAAACAATCCCGTTTCTCAAATACGTGAAGTGATTACCAAGCAAAGAAACGACCCTAAATGACAAGAAAATGACAAGCATGATTGTGTGCTCAAAGTCAAAACCTGTACCCTCAGGTAATTTAACATAACTATGGAAAATCACCATTTTTTATGGGAAAATCCACTATAAATGGCCATTTCCAATAGCTACGTTAAATTACCAGAGGGTAAGTAACTCAATAGCCGTATTTGGTCCACCCTCCTCAACCATCCGCAAACATAAAAACAAACATCGTTTACCAGCCCGAATTTCTGCTTGAGAACCACCATCATGAACCAATTCTATCCCATGAAATATCTCCCATTATGGGTTTACCACCACCTAAAATTTTAAATTGGCAAAATCTGTTCCCATTAAGTCTATAGTATGAGGTCAACGTGCTGGATTGATAAACTATGGTGGTTGATTAACAAGGGTAATGCCTAGATCATGTAAGCAATTTGACATTATGCAAGCAACAAAATATGACTGTGCCCCAAAAAAGATAGATATCAGTAATTTATAACTACTTTTTAATAAAAGGAATCGGCTAAATTCTATCTGTTCCATCCTTTGGGGGGTTTCCCTAGTCATGGGGGTATCCCAAAATGGTTGGTTTATAATGGAAAATCCCCATCTAGAAATGGATGAGAACTGGGGGTACCCCTATTTCAGGAAACCACCATATATATATATATATATTACATATAACATATACAGTAGTGATAAATCATACCCCCATCCACCCCGCATTCCCAGGCCCCTCAGGCCCCTCGCACCTCCTTGCGACCGCAACCGCTTTTGGCTCCTCTCCACCAGGCACGTACAGCCAACTCGAGGCCAGCCGCCTGGGGCACCGAAGGCCGCAATTGTTCGAGTATCATTGGAGGCAGCTCATTCATCCGGGGTTTTTCCATGAGTCCCCAAAAAAAGTCAGTATCCATGGGGAGATAATACACATAACATACCCTCTGCTAATTTAACATAGCTATAGAAAATCACCATTGTTTATAGGTAAACCATCTATTTCTATGGGCCATCTATACCATAGCTTTTTGTATGTTTACCAGAGGGTAACCAGCCGTGATAATAGGTGACTATCTGGGTCCCAGGGTCGAATAGGGTGGGGTCCAGAATTCGATGCTTTAAAAGCAACGTGGCTTGGTGAGCAGCCGGTTCTGAAGACCTCCAGTCGTGAAGATTGGAGGAAACGCAAAGTAAATGCGTTGTCAAATGCGTTGTAAACCTTACCCCTGCCTTGAACCTGCCAACATCTTAAAATCTGGACCACGTTTTCGGCTTGTGGATCTACCCAAATCCCCTCGATCGTCTCAATGGGTCCCCTGGATCCCCAACCTCGCAGTGGGCTGACAGCTCTGGGTCTGCCATGAAATCCGCCATCAAACCCAGCGCATCAAACCTCGGACTGAGCGCATCGCACAGGGCGTTGGAAAATGCCAAAGTCCTTCAAAAAGGACAAAAAAAAGGGTTCCTTCCTGGATCAAAGCCTGCCCGCGGGGTATCATTGAGTTTGCCACATGGCATATTCAAATCATGATCTTTGGAACTGTTGGAGTCAAAGTTGTAGTGGGGTAAACCATGGTAAACCCAATGCCGTACACCATCCCCAAAATCAGCATTTTTATGGGTTGTACAATCCTCAAACTCCTGTCATGCCGCACTCATTTTGGCCCAACCAGAGTCACCACGCAGGCACCTGGCTCTGAGCCAGAAGCCTTTGGGAGTTGCAGTGGCCTTTATGACACAGATCAACTGGATTAGTGAAACCCATAGAATCTTCTGTAGTTCACACCAAAATAGCTGGGACCTATGGATGTTCTGATGTTCATCCCTTCTAAACATGATATTTTATAGGTGTCCTGTTCATCTCTGGTAGCAACTGCTGCCCGTGCGAGTCAAATAGTCCAAGGAGTGCGTCGCTTTGGGCCGAACGATGTACCCCAAAGACTCCAAAGCAACCCATGAAGGTTGCAGGAAACTCTTGTGGAGCTGCTTGAAACTCTTGAACAAGACCAGTCCTTTTTGTGCGCAGTAGTCAGATTAGACCAGTCTTTTTTGTGCTTGTAGTCACAAATATGATTCATAATTCATAACAATTATTCTGAAAAATCCAGGATGTCGGCTACCAACACGCCTGCTGTCCTTGGTCCTTGCGACAAAGAAGAGGAGGGCTGAAGTAGAATCTATTCTTGGCCCGGTCAGCAGCAGTTTCCAATGAGATATATGATATATTTGTCATTAATGGTTATTAATGGTTATTAATGGTCATTAATGGTTATTAATGGTTATTAATGGTTATTAATGGTTATTAATGGTTATTAATGGTTAATCAATCACATTCCAGTGTGATGTTGCTGGAAGAAATGTAGGCGCCTATGAGGCGCTCCTAGCTTCAAGCAGCCCTTCTCATGCCACAGGCACGAATTGCGAGCCACCCAAGGCTCCAAAACGGTGTGTGTCAATTTTTCTTGGAACAATAAAGGCACTGCAAAGGTCTTTTTAAGGGCCGCAAATCTCTCACCCAACTGGTATGACACACACAACAAAAGATGTCCTTGCATCTGTATGTGTTTAGAGTTGCCTGGCATAAATCCAGGTTTTCCTGAATTCCTTTCTGTGCTTCTGTGGCCCCTTGATCTTCCTTCTGATTGTGAAGCCCCCCTGGGAGAAAGTTTGCCACTTGTTCCCAAAGCAACCAGTGGAGTGTCTAAACGGACCAGCTTGGAACTTAGACTGCGTATGTCACGTCTTTAAATCCGATGTCTTCGTTTCTGCCACCATCGATGCTCTTTGGCGCAACTCAGGCAGTGAGTTTTGAAGGATAGGCCTCCACTAAAAAGAGAGGCTTGGCAACACAAAGAGTCAAAACATGGGTGTGTCTGAAAATGGGATCTACGGTATCCCCCCAGTAATGGCCATTCAGCTGAGACAAATGATGATCAACCAGGTCTTCTCCATGAGAACCCCATCTGCTGAATCACTAGTACCTCAGACAGTCGTTTAGTATCTACTGAGCAATGTGAATGTCCTGTGTGCACGAAGCCCCCGTTGCACCAAAGGTCCAAGAGCTGGTAGAGAGAATCTCTAATGACTCACTACTCACTCAGGTCTGAAATATTCCATTTTGAGGCCCCTTTTCATTGATCTCAAGCGTAAAAATAAGACTCCTACACTTCTCAGCCGTCGCTTGCAGCGCCCCGTTGTGAACCTCCTGGCTGTCATCTTCAACTTCATCCCTGGTTAGCACCTCAGAGTACTGCCATGAGATTCTGCAGGCGCATCTATCAGTTTATGTTTGGAATAAGCTGGTAGCATTGTAGCATCTTAATTGTTCAATTAATACTTTGAAATCACCACTCAGCCAGAAAAGCTGCGATTCTACTATACTTATCGTTGGAATCAGATGTGGTGAATTATCTGTAGCCCAAAAAGGCCAAAATCAAAGTGTATGGCGACCATGTAGTCAAACATGAACATATTTGAACCAGTGGATTTGACCGAGACAAGCATGCCCGAAGCTGGGTGAACGGAGGATGGTTCTCAGTTCTCACCGTCTTTCCCTCTACTTTATCCCATCGCAGATTTTGCAACATATTGAGACATACAAACATCATGTTGACTTGTTGAGTTTCTGATCTGTGCGTTTGTCTTAAAATTGGGTACTCCTAAATCCACTGGTTCATTCTCATTATCCCTATTCAATGACTATATTTTCTCCAGTTTTCACGGGGGGATCACTCCTTCTGCGCCTTCCAGGGTTCCCCTACCTTACAAGTCCATGGCGAAGCATAGGCCGGTGGATCATTGGGATCAATGCCTCGCAGTGAGTTGACTGTGCCGCGTGGTGATGCCAGCCATAAATGGTACCATCAATGGATGGGTTGAAGGGAAAAAGTTGCAGGAAACCACAGTTTAAGCAGTTTTCGGATGAAAAAATGGTTTGAGTTTTCCTGTAAATGTTCCTTTCAACCAATTCCGGGAAATAAACGTTATATATATATATATAAACAGTATTCCAAACATGTGTAGTGTAACATGACTGATGCACAGAAAAAATCAACTGCTGGCACCAAAAGACACGGCACCTGGCGTGCAGCTCACTTTGCACGATGCCCACCAATCATTCTTTTGGAAGCACCTGAAGCTTCTCAAGAGTTGGTCCGCAATATAGGTGTAACATGATGTTAATGAGGTCAGTCAATACCTGTATTCCCATCAAAGCATCAAAACATCAGCCGTTTCTGTTTGTGTTCCTGCATCAAAAGGAATTGTCGCTCTCTGCATTGCTCGGTCTGGAACGTGGTGCCCAGTTCGTTGCAACATTTTGTCTTTGAACAATCCTCCTGCGGCTGAACCCAAATGACATCACACATGGGAAACAACATTGCCAGGAGAGTATTTAATATGAGTTAGTCTGAAATATAGCACCTCTAAATCCAAGGGTTAATCACGATGTTCCCTATTAAATGCCATGCTATGGGTGTATTTCATTTTCAGACATGCCCATATATCCTTGGAACACAAAGTAAACATCATGTGTAGGTCAGCGATCACATGAGCAGAATTTGTGGCACTGCTTCTTGACACGAGATGTAGGCATCATGCTTCGGTTTGCTAAAGAACGAATATTTCTGGAGAACCCAATGTGCCAAATCTCAATGGCAACGTGAGTTTTCATCGACATGGATTTGTTGGAAAATCGGGTTGCCAAAAATCCATTGGTGGTTTATCATCAATTTCCCCTTGAAAGCTCAGCCATTCTGGTGGTTTTTCCCGGGCTTTTTTGGCCAAGCCCTAGGCCGTCCGTGGAATCAGAGCACATCCCCGGTGGAGGTGTTGTCAACCTGGCATCATGGCAGAAAGCAACAAAGCCCTCGATCCGGAGGTTTGAAAGGCACATATTTTTTAATTTGATGACGGACTCCTGCGGGGTCCATGTGAGCAGTGTCAATTGCCATTAGGAAATTCCTTCTAATGGTTGCTTCATGGGGTCCTCACAATGGATTCTCGCTGCAATCCCCAATATACTGAGCAGCATAACCTATCATCATCAACCAAGCATAATTTCTGGATTCTATCACTATACTTGCGTTTGCCTGAAAATAGGGTATCCCAAAATCCATTTGCTTTATCATGGTTAATCATGCTGTTCCCTAATTGAACGGCCATGTATTGGAGGGTCTACCGTTGTTACCCCATTTGCAGAGACACCGACCAGCCTTGGGCAAGGCTCGGGTAGCGGATCAAGCATTGGCTCCTTCAGCAGCGTCGACCTGGCTGGGTTACCCCAATATCAATAGGGAGGTGTTCAAAAATGGGGGATCTTCATAAAATATGGGATCATCTTCCAGCCAATGGGGGATCATCTCCCAATTTCATCCATTTATGAAATCCATGGCTTGATATTGGGAGACGATCTTCATGGGGGATCCCCCAAAAACATCGCCTCACGAAGTGACCGGACTCGGTCAGCTCGCAGTCCTCCCAGCCACCATCTCCACTGGCACCTGAGACTGGCTGAACCCAGAAATGCGAAGCCCGAAATGGTGGATTTATGCCCTGAAGATTGTGGCATTTGTGGGAAATGATGAGGTGATTGTAACCAGAAAATGGAACATTTAAAGCCGACTCTTGGGAAAAAAACGCAGATAGAAAAGTCTTTAAGCAGGAGGATCTTTAAGGAGGATCTTTACCTCATTTCCGGGCTCTCATTTTTGGAGTCCTTTTGAGGTTGCTGTAGACGTAGGCGAAGTAGGATGGAACTTTTAAAAAGAATCAAGAATCAAGCAAACCAAATCACAGTAGGTCATCTGGATTTATCATTTTATCAGGCTTCTACATCTTCTATCAAGTTCTATCTCGATTCTGTTGGTGTTAGTTACATCCAACAATGTGCCACTTACTCTACCTCCTCACTAGATCCCCGGTGGCTGTCATTTTTCAGGATGGGTTTCCCCCTGAAAAAATAGACCATCACCAGACGGAGACGGAGCTGCTTAAGATCGTGACATGAGGCTATGTACCTTACTTGGTGGCAAACTACCCACGGCTCGTAAGTGGGTTATAACCCCAGTGATTTACATGGGATTTTTGTAGGGTTAATCCACTGAAATCACTGGGGTTATAACCCACTTACGATTCGTGGGATGAGCCACCAAGTAACATCATCTTGTATTCGCACCATACAGTGGCAAGTCTTGCCTGTGAAATTCTCTCAGAATGTGTGCCCGTGCGAAAAGAACTCGATGCGCTGAAGACATGAGCAGTGCCAAGCTCAGCTTTTGTCACACCCTGCCACGTGAAAGATTTACAATTTACAATGGTTTCAATATCGGATTAGAATAATCCTCATTATATAAACCAAAAAATCTAAAGGTTAGTATAATGCATTGTGATAAGCCACAAAACAACAGAGATCCATTAAAACACTTCATATACAGTACCTGGGTCAAGCCCCAGAGCGGAAACATCCCAGCCTGGCAGGAGAGCTGAACACGCTTCCTGGCAGCTGGGGGGTGATCAAATTCTTTCACACCAAATTGAAGTAGAGAGTAGAGTAGAGTATAGATAGCCGCTCAATCAATCATATCGTCTTCATCCTCATCGCCATCGTCGTCAACATCAACATCAACATCAGCATCAACATCATCATCATCATCATCATCGTCATTGTCATCGACATCATCATCCTCATCCTCATCCTCATCCTCATCGTCATTGTCATTGTCATTATCATCGACATCGGTCGTCGTCGGTGGCTTGGGCCAGTGCTCAACAACCTTACCGCCCAACTGCATCCCATTAGCTCAGAGATCTATTAGAACTAAAACTTTCAGTGATATCCAACTCGAAATTGCTGTTCAAACTGTTGCGAATTTCATCACGTGTAGTGGTCTTTGCCAATGTCCCCACTCTTCTATGCTAGCACCAATTGAAACTGCCTTTCCCAGCTGAAACTCGAAAGAAACCAAATCCCACAAAATCAAGTCGGAAATGTGCAGAACGGAAAATGTTCAAAGATATTCCCGTTATACCCAGGATTTATGTATAATCCTTATATTATATACTAATGTATACATATATATATCACATATATATATAATCTATATGATTATATATCCCCCATAGACTTACCTGCTTGGTTCGTAGATTGTGTTTCAAAACCATCTAAGGCCCAGCCTGCTTGTCGCTGATGGCCCAGTTGGCATCCGAAATCTGGTGCTGTTCAAAGAAGTCCAACCACGTCTTCGTCTGGACGCTTGGAAAATTGCAGGATAGTAAAGCAATGGCAAACCACCCATAAATATGTTTCATACTACATACCACCCATTTATATATGGTAAATTTGGAGATGGTTTACTATTGCTTTACTAACATCAATCTAGGCATACATGCGGCGATGGATCAATGGCCAATCCCCAGATCTGGGTCCCAAGATTCTCTGGATCAAATTGGATTGGTTGAAGGGAACATTGACAGGAAAGCCCAGCCAATTTGATGCGGAAAACCCAGCCAATTCCGGTGAAGATCTTCTCAAACGGTGGTTCTTTCACCACTTTTTTTCAGGTGAACTCACCCTTTCTGCAGGTGTTTGGTCCCCAAAAAATGCTGCCTCCTCCAGGTTCAGGGTGCCATCGCCACTGGCATCGCAGGTGCCCCACTCCGTGGCAAAGATGGCCACCGATTCCAAGGCCTTCGTGACCTGGAGGATTTTCCAACGCTAGGACCATATGGATGAGTGGAAGGAAAAAATCATCAAAGGAAAGCCCACAGAAATATAGATTCTTACAGATTCTTCACACCCTTCCCCACAGAATTTTTAGTATGTTCAGTGCCCTCAGTGGTTAGCAGGGTTGGTAGTCATTACCCTATAGCTGATGGGAAAAACCATGCTTTCCTGTAGATTTTTCCTACCAATCCAGTGATAGGACCATATTGAGGTTTCCTAAGTCACAGGGGTACCCCAGTTATCATCCAGTCGTGATGACCGTGCCTTAGTATTGAAACAACCCTGATGACGACGGGGGATCCCCCATGACTGAGGAAACCCCCATCTGGGGTTACCCTCTGGTAAACTAACATAACTATGGAAAATCACCATTTTCAATGGGAAAACTCACTATAAATGGCCATTTTCAATAGCTATGTTAAATTACCAGAGGGTATGGTCCTTTTTTGGAAAAATCTCGCGGGGCCGGTTTGGTCAAAATTATGAAAGTGTTACATATACCTATTGTTGTTGAATGGCGGGAAGCTGCAGAAAAAATCCACCAACCAATGGGAAAAAGGACATCAATGTACTGGTTGTGAAAAACTGGCTGCTTCATCTTATCTGCTCTTTTTTCGGTTGGGTGCATATATAGAAACAACAAAATGATCATAAAAACATCAAAAACCACCCAAGAATCAGATTGATCAACAAGCAATATGTTTCTAAGCTTGCGTTCTTGATTCAAAAGTGGATGATGATCATCTCCTATCCATTTCCGGTTGGTTCAAATTATCATAAACCAAAAAATTGAACACTGCTCATGTCAATGTTATTTAGATAATTTAGATATGGTGATTCAGGTACGAGTATGGCGATCTAGGTATGGTGCTTCCGGTATGGTGATTTGGGGATTTCACGCTGAGGTGATTTCAGCAGCAAAATGATCAAAATGTGGTGATGTTTGATAGGTAAAAATGGTGACTTGCAGGTGCTTTGAATATTGTTCGTTGAGTTGGGTATTGGGTATTGGGTACACCAAAATTGTGATGGTAGATATTGGTAGATATTGACTGTGGCCCTATGTTTTTCATCGGTCATGCAAGCAGCATCTGGTGACGTTACGTTTGATCAACAAGAATGGAGATTTGATAAAGAAGTGACGTAACCTGACGTAACCTACAAAAAGATTGGATCTCAAGTTTGATGGTGATTCAGTTGGGCAAACAAAAAATGATGTTTACCCAACAACGATGCAAATGTCATAGTGCTAGAGAAAAAAGGAACAGAAAGTCGCCAAAGCGAAAGAATCAATATAGGTTTATCTGTATAGGCACTCCGTGGAGCTAATCGAGTTCCACTAGAACTGCTGCCGCCAAACCTACAGATCCAAAACCAAGAAAGCAACCATGAAGGATGAGAAATGGTCATGTTCAACATGTTCACAAGAACGGCTTAATTACAGTGTACGTAAGTGACATCACTCCAGTCGCGACAGACGAACGCGACGAACGCTCCAATATGCCATCCACCGGCCTTATCTCGAAGCTCCTGCAGCGCAAGTCGATGCAAGTTGGCAGCAGACAATGGAAGATGAGACAAATCTGTTGGTTAAAACCTCAGACAACATGATCAACAATCATCAACATGCCAATTGTTCGAAACCTAAAGGAGCAAAGATCAGCAAAGAACCTGGATAAGACAGGCTAAAAGATTAGAAGTGTTCACTGAAAGAAACATATTGAAGTCTGCAAAAATCATGTGAGCTTTCAGCGGGTCCTGCTTGTGCGTGTTCGCATAGAAATGGATGGTGTATGCCAGATTCTCCCCAGCAACCTGCCAGACATGAAATTTTTGAATCCGGAAATCAAACAAGGCAATGGAAAATGTGCCATTTACAGTTGATTTTCCCGGCATTAGAACCTCCATTCATAGGGGATTTCCCACAGGGATTACCGGATTCATAGCATCGTGGTGGGGGAACCGTTGGGAACCCAACTCGGGGCCCCGAACTGTTCGGTCCATTCAGTCCATTCAGTCCGAGATGCAGGATCTTCAGCAGCAATGTCCACATCTTGCGACCATGTGCCAGTGCCCAAAATGATCAGATTGGAGCTCTCTTCTCTGATTACCTGATGGCCAGTTGGGGGTACCCGGCCTGGTAGCCACGTTTACAGTTTGCGAACTGGAAAACCACCATGTTTTATTGGTAAATCAACTATTTCTATGGCCATTTTCAATAGCTATGTTAGTTTACCAGAGGTATACCCCATCAGACACAGAATTCTGAAGATACGAGGTCGGCTGAACCCCTGCTGCGGCGCAAAGCGACAATCTGCAGAAAAGGCTCTGACACAATCTTCTCATGGTAGGGTTTGATGGTCTCATTCCAGCTCTGAAAAATCGGCTCATTGAAAATCTCAAAAATCACATTGGGCAGGTGTCCAAACCTTGGTTCTTCGCCAGAACCAAGGCACTTGGGAGTGCATCTCCCATGAAAAAATTCTACAAAAAGGATTCTCGTCGTGAATGTCATGTCATCGTCAAAAACAATTACTCCCCAAATGGTCTCAGTTCATGAATAGATCCCATACTACACCGTGGTTTCAAAGCTGGAGTATCTTAAATGGTTTATCAATGTTTATCATATCCCCATGATCTCCTCATGATATTCCCACTGTACTGGCAGGTAGGGAAGGGATACAGCACTCCCATCAAAGCCATGCAACTCTTTAGACATCTGCTTAAAGAATTCGGCAGCTTCCTGTGCGGAATTGGAGAGTCAGCAGCATCAAACGTCACACTTCAACCAGACTTCAACTGGAGTTAGGCGAAAAATGAATGAAAGTGGGCTAATTGAAACACCAGAATGAGGGTATGACGGTATGACCATATAAGCTACAAAATGTTTCATGCAACCCTCACATTAGAATAGTTTCCTAGCAATTGCCTAAAATCAGTGTGCCAAACAAATGACAAAAATATGGATGTCCTTAAAGTTAGCCTGCAAGCTTGTTCACATCTGGGAACGATGCTGTGTCCCTTATTGGGAGTTCATCATCCCAGCCTCCTGATGCTGCTCAGCATTGTGATCGTGCCAATCAATAATCACATAGATTCCCTGCTTGATGGCAGCTTCCACCACAGTCTGTCAGCTGTTCGAGATCACTTCTGCTATGTCTGTTGCTACTTCAAAGTTTCAAGCAACTACCAACTATATATATATATATAAGATACCCTCTGGTTATTTAACATAGCCATGGACAATGGTTCATTTATAGATGCTTTACCAATTAATAGCATGGTGATTTTCCATGGCAAACTGTTAAATAACCAGAGGCTATATATAAGTCCCCTTAAAAAAGACAGGCAAGCTTTGCAAACAGATGATGTTTCCCCCATCACTCTCGGTACAAAAAAGGTAGAACCTACTCACAGCATACAGCAAGGACGCAAATACTAGATGTCCCTGGACGCAAGGGGTGCCAATGAACATGAAATGTAAAATGTGCAGCAGCTTCCTTTCACACTTCAATCATAGTTGTCGGAAAGCGCATTCGACACATCTAAAAATCAGAGTTGTCACCATCTCTGTCGCCACTCCTGTGCCAGTGACCCCTGCCTTCATTTTTTCCATTTCTTCCTCTGGATGAGTGAGATATCCATCTGCCTGTCGAAAAAACGGCCAGCACATCATGCAAAAACTACTGGCCCCAAACAGAGTTCGATGCCATAGTTCTTACTGGCCGCTACCAGCACCAGCTTCACCAAATGGTTTCCGGATTCCATTGGTTGATGCAATCCATGGGTCCATGTTCTACCAGGCATTTCAAGTGCTGCAAGCAATGTCTTATCCTGAATTCACATGATCCAGGTGGTTGGCAATCAGGACAAGGATTGGCTTGGCAACTGAATTCAAAGACGCGATCAAAATTGGGGTGAATCTCCTATTTGAGACAAGCCCATATACATAATGTCAGTTCTATATCCCTTTATATCTTTAAATATTATATATATATAATGTGTAAATATATGTATATGCATATCCCATTGTGTATGGGTCATCAAATGGTTGGTCTGGAAAACACCCCATCCTCCACGGCCATTGGGCAGCGCAGCAAAGTGATGCCCCACTTCTTCTTCAGCCAGCGAGTGGTCCCTGATGTATCGCGATTTTCATGGGGAACATTCGAACTTGTCGGAACTGGAGACATCGGGAAATATTGATAGATGCAGCATGTCATATGGCCATTATGTGGCCACTTTTTGTGGTAAGTGTTACCCTCTGGCAAACTAACATAACTATTGAAAATCACCATTTTTAATGGGAAAACTCACTATAAATAGCCATTTTCAATAGCTATGTTCGTCATTACCAGAGGGTAACCATTTTTCCCATGGTTTTCTCATGGATTTGGGAGGTCCCCTGTGTCAAATAGCAAAACAGCGTCCTGCGGTCCAGAACTGCGGTTTCCATTGGGACCAGAACAGCGACATCCCGCGAAGTCGTACCACCTGGCCAGACCTGGGATTTTCAGATGCTCAATGGGAAATCTTCAGGATCCAATACATGGAGGTACGTTGGTACCATATATTTCTGGCCATATGAATTGTGGGGATATTCCCTGAAAAAAAAAGGCCTGAAAAATTGGCCAAAAATATATGGTAGGTACCTCCAATAGTCTCCAATGAATCATTGAAATGCTGTCAAGTGGCTCATCTACGACTTTGTTCCCCTGCACTTTGAGGAATCCATGCTTCTTCACAATGGAGTCCTGCACCGGTGACGCAGCGTCGGCAAGACGTGCTGAGGAGGCCCAGAAAATTGTTTGCCAAGGGGATCGCAAGAGAGAAATACCAGGAACCCCCCATCTACAGTTGAATACCCACATTCCAGGTGTCTGTTCTGTAAATTGTTTCCATCGCCGGTGCCTTCGACTCCTCCTCGTCATCGTCGTCATCATCGTCGTCGTCATCGTCGTCATCATCCTCACAACAAAGTGGCCATGACCAGGCATCTAGGGAAACATATTAAACGAATTTAAACGATGGGTAGTACTGGTGGGAGCTGCGCATGTCTTTTCATTTGAAAGAATGGTATTTCGGTGAGACAAGGGGTTCTGCTCGAAGCTGTCACAGACTACTGGGCCAAGAATGGTGCCATTGTCAAAGAGACCCTACGGCTCCTTTGCGGTCTGATGTGTTAGGAGGTTTCCAAAACAATGCGCACCACAGGATTGCAACATTTAATTGATTTAAGATTTCCCAGTACCATCCTCACTGGATTTATGTTGAGATCAAAAACTTTCAAACCACTGTGTAGCAGCAACTGCAGTACATCGGCATTGCCCGCATTACCACTGGCCTCATCGCAATTTCCAGCCTGGGTCTGTTGCTCAGTGGAAACTCCCATGGTTTATCATCATGCTCTCCATGCTCTCAAGGCATTTGGTTCCATTTGGCTCTCATTTCCGATTTCCCATAAGGATATCACCAAAAAAACATTGCTAAAAATTGGCTCTTCTGCATGTTTCACAGGAATACTGTATCTCATGAAATATCTGCATAACATTGTACCCTCGAATAGAAAATGCCATCACATCCCATAGAATATCCAATGGAATATTTATGTGTATATATATATATATGGGTTTGTCTGAAAATAGTGTACCCCTACACCCAATGGTTTTGCTGATCATTATCCCTACTAAATGGTTATTTCATTGGGGCTATACCCCATTTTCAGACATACCCATATATATATATATATACCATTTATAGTGGATTTTCCCATTAAAAATGGTGATTTTCCATAGCTATGTTAGTCATTACCAGAGGGTAAAGGGCATAAATCCTGCAGTCAATCCTTTGATCTTGCCTAAGGCCCCAACGGCGCAGCGCTTCAGAGACCGGAGCCGTCCGGAAGCGTCTGCCGTGGACGCCGCACTTCCCTGCTCCGCCTGCACCGGGTTACAATCGGAGGTGAGATCACTTTTTTTTAATAGGAGCTCTGTATAAAATACATGATATGGATATATATATATATGTATATTTAAAATATTTTATGTAATTAATACAATTCTTGTGGACCAATATGATGGGATGGGATACTCTACATAGGATATGTATAATATATCTATATGTAACATATAGGATACACATGGACGCAAACTCTTACAACCTCAGACCTATAAAATCCAAACACTAGGCTTTCTGAACGGTCTCAAGACTTCCCTGTGACACAAGGCTTCACAGGTCAGGGCCCAAACATCAAACGAGCCTCTGACCAAACAACAATAGCAGCCAAGATTGTCTGATCCTAGTACGGAACTTGTTTCCAGCAAGTGTCTCAGCCCAAAAAAACTTCTAATACATGTGTAGTCATCTGTACACATATATATATATATATGATATATGTCATGCTGTTGGCCCAAACGCGCGGCCTTCTTGACCATCTGCTGCTTGTGCTGCAACATCTGATAGCCCTTGGTTTGGCAGTCCGGGCATGACCTGAGCAAATTTCTGAGCTCTTGAGAACTGAGCTGCGACCTCTGCCGAAATCATCCATTTTTCCATCATTAAACCCAAAAATAGGGATCTAATGAGAATAGCATGAGAATCCATCAGGAAATACGAATTTAGATATCGTCGGTGGCACTCTGGAGCTAATTCTTACAAGTTTCTCTGAAAAGATGTCATATTGAACTTGAACCATTTTGGGTGATACCAATTGGCAGTTTTGGACCAACCCCATACCGAAAAGCGTCTGAAACATCGTCACAGCCCAGCTGCTTGGCAGCCAGCAGCACTGGCAGAAAAAGTAACAGCAGCCACAT